ATGCACACTTCCTGGACACTGTTCCCACCTTGCAGTCTCTCTGAATTTCCCCCTAGTCACCCCACTCCAGAGTCCCCCATCTCCATTCTCCCTTCTGCATTTTCTCTCGCATCCCCTTACCGAAAGAAGAGTCTACTCTTAAAGGCAGCATATGCCTAGATTTAAACACATAGCAAAACACGTGCTTATCTTGTGCTCCAAAAGCAACCCAGGAGGACCCCCCCCCAAAAATATCTTTGCTCTCCCCCATCTCCTTTGTCTAAACTTACACCTCCTGGGAAATCGGAAAGCAGCGCAGACATACCTGGACTGTAAAGACATAAATGCACAGAGTCCATTGAACACCCCCTTTTACAGTCTCTCTCAGCTCCCACCCCCCAGATAAAGAAATCCCAGGGCACTGCCCCCTATATTTTGTGTCTACTACCTCCCTTCCCCCCCACAAAAGAAACTCAGCCAGATGGGCAGGGTATAAATAAATTATTATTATTATTGTTAATAATAATAATAAGAAGAAGAATAAGAATAAGAATAAGAATAGGCTGCCCCCTATATTTTGTGTCTACTATCTCCCCCCCCCAAAGAAACTCAGCCAGATGGGCGGGGTATAAATAATAATAATAATAATAATAATAATAATAATAATAATATAGGCCGCAAAGGCATAGATTTAAATGCAGATTAATGCAGCCCCACACATGCCCCCTGAGACTCCCCAAAAAGCGGAGGATGAAGTTAATGGACTATGCAGAATTAGAGAAACTAAGAGGAAGGATCCGAAACCGGAGGGACCAGAAATTCACCGAAGACTGGAGTAAATTTACGAATTATATGAAAAGTATTTGTGGTGATCAGACGACGTTTGTAGGTTTGCAAGAAGTTCTGTGAGGAGTAACGTTGGAAATATTGTAAAAACGAAAAAGGGGAGATGATATGTTAAGAGAGGTAAAGACAATATAAAATTAAGTAATGCGTAAAGAAGTGGTTAAGACGGAAGATCATCAGAGGTGCTGATGGAAGTCCAATAAGATTGTATTTGTAATAATCTGTGCGGTATGCTTTATAATTTGTATTTTTTTAAAAAATTAAAAAATAAAAAATATTTAAAATATATTTTTTAAATTTGTATTTTTTAAAAAAGAGACTCCCCAAAAAGCGACCCCCAGAGACACCCCCCGCCCTGTAATTTCTCTGAAATGACCCCCAACCTCCGTGTCCCCAAAAAGAGCCTCGTTTTAAAGGCCTCCATTTAGATAGGCATCACATTCCTGCCCCCTTAGCAGTCTCCCCAAAGACCCCCACCCCCTATATTTCTCCCCAAATCTAATATTTTAAAATATTTCTCTCTTCTCGCCCCCTTAGCAGTCTCCCCAAAGACCCCCCCACCCCCTATATTTCTCCCCAAATCGAATATTTTAAAATATTTCTCTCTTCTCGCCCCCTTAGCAGTCTCCCCAAAGACCCCCCCACCCCCTATATTTCTCCCCAAATCTAATATTTTAAAATATTTCTCTCTTCTTGCCCCCTTAGCAGTCTCCCCAAAGACCCCCCACCCCCTATATTTCTCCCCAAATCTAATATTTTAAAATATTTCTCTCTTCTCGCCCCCTTAGCAGTCTCCCCAAAGACCCCCCACCCCCTATATTTCTCCCCAAATCTGATATTTTAAAATATTTCTCTCTTTCGGAGGGGCCCCCAAAGCGACTCTGAAAAGACCCCCAACCTCCGTCCCCCACAAAAAAGAGCCTCGTTTTAAAGGCCTCCATTTATAGGCATCACATTCCTGCCCCCTTAGCAGTCTCCCCAAAGACCCCCCACCCCCTATATTTCTCCCCAAATCTAATATTTTGAAATATTTCTCCCCAAAGACCCCCCCCATACATTTCACCCCCTCCTTCCTCACCAGGGGGGCCGAGAGGCGAAGCCCCCTACATACGAGCGGGACCCCCAGGGAGGCCCCTGCCAGGATCAGGCCCCTCGCCGCCGCCAGCATCGCCCAGAATTCCCCTCACGCGCCTCGCCTCGCGCAGGCCCCGGAGAAGCCTCGGCCTCGCCTGGCTCCGCCCGCCGGGGTGGGTCGACCGCGGGGCGGGCAGAGCGGGAGGGAGGAGCCGGCGTGGTGGTGGTGGGGGGGGGACACACACAAACCCGGCACGCTTTCTTCCCCCAGGATTTATTTACTCCTTTTTCTCTCTCTCTTGCCTATCTTGACACGGTAGCAAAAACCCGCCGCCCCCCAAATAAAAGCATGTCAAGAGTGCCACTGAGCATACGCAGAGTGCAAAAAATATTATTATTTTTGCGAAGAGGAGTCCTTTGCTGCAACCCGCCAAGGGTTAAGGCTGAGCAATCGATTTACATTCACTAGTTGTTATCCCCAGAAAGTTTTGGATTTGAGTTTCTGCTGAAATGAGGCTGCATTTTAATGTTGTGTTTTAATCTTAAATTGTATTTTCATCCATTTTTTAAATGAATTTTATTAGTATTTTCCACACAACAACAACACGAAAGATATCAAAAAATAACTACACAACACACAAAAATCAACATTCGAAAACTAAACAAAAAAAACCCCCCAAAACAAAACAAAACAAACAAACAAATACATATTTTACATGTTAAGATTATAAACACTAAAACAACAACAACCAACAACAAGACATTCAATGTCTTGGAAGTCAATGTCTTAATCCGTTGTTTTTATACCTGGTGTTAGCCACCCGGTCTTGGCTGGGGAGGGCAGGGTATAAATAAAAATTATTAATATTATTATTATTCATATTTCTTTTGCCAGCAAGATCATCGTTAAATTTATTTACTGCCGCCCTCGACGCTGGTGTGGTTGGGCTGCGGTGCCCGCAGGATGGGCAAAGGGGGCAGCAACTGGGGCCCAGTACAGAAGCCTGGTGAGTAATGGGGTAATGATCTCCCTTGGTTTGAATAGGCTGGACCAGTGGCTCTGGGCTGTGGGCCGGCTCCAAATACTGGGAAACAAGATCCTAGTCCTCATGATTGCAGCCGAAAGCTTTGGTGTTGGGCTCTGGGCTCCAGGCAGGTTTGTCCGCAGACAGCTTCTGGGTCATGTGGACAGCATGACTAAGCTGCTTCTGTTGAACCAGAGCAGCGCACGGAAACGCCATTTACCTTCCCGCCGGAGTGGTACCTACTTATCTACTTGCACTTTGATGTGCTTTCGAACTGCTAGGTTGGTAGGAGCAGGGACTGAGCAATGGGAGCTCACCCCGTCACGGGGATTCGAACCGCCGACCTTCAGATCGGCAAGTCCTGGGCTCTGTGGTCACAGCGCCACCCGCATCCCTGTGAAGATCTTACAATAACTAAAAATCTCGGCCCAATATGGATGTACAGCCCAGGTTCGCTAGCGCCCTATTTAACGGGCAAGGAGGATCGAGTTTGTTCAGAGGTGGGGAACTGGGTCCTTCGCACCAACCGTGAGCCCCTCTTTCCTCTTCCGATTTCATTTTTTTTTATAAGATATTTATTAAGATTTTCAAGAAGTTACAAAATAGAAAAGAAATCAGAAAAATACCGAAGAAAAAAGATACAAAAAAATAAAAAACAAAAAATAATTAAAAAACAATTCAGTCATCACGTATTTTTCATTTATTATTTCCCGGACCTCCTCGCGCCTTCCTTCTCTGTATTCCAGTTCAAATTATTATTTCGGCAAATCCCTCCCCTCTTTCAAATCCTTTCCCTAACTCATAATATTCTGTCTTCACATTACCTTAATCTATTTTCATCTTATCTTATACATATATATATATATATAAAAGAAGAAAAAGAAACCTTAAAGTTTAGAACTTAAATCTTAATTTTTACCAACTTCTCCTAACCATAACCTTCTTACCTAATTCTTTAGACATTTTTATAAGAGCCTTTCCTCTTCCGATTTCAGGACATTGACGTCGGTGCAGAGCTGGTGCGGTTGGGCAACGTGGTGCAGTGCCCGCAGGATGGAGACGGCGGGACTGGAGATGGACCCGATCCGTTGGACAGAGGTGCCCAGCAGAGAAGCCTGGTGAGTAATGGGGTCGGTTGATGTGCCCTCCCTTGCTTTGAATAGGCTGGACCAGTGGCTCTGGGCTGTGGGCCGGCTCCAAATACTGGGAAACAAGATCCTAGTCCTCATGACTGCAGCTGAAAGCTTTGCTCTTGGGCTCTGGGCTCCAGGCAGGCTAGCAAGCGATAAGAACACAAGATTCTAGTCCTTAGGATAGCAGCTCTTGCTTGAAACGGGGAGTGGGTGGGGGGCAGGATGTTGTGGGGGGGTCGCTGTTTGATGCATCCCAAAGTCTGGACTGCATCCGTCCACGTTGGTGGACCAGGACGTCACAAAAGTCACAAATTAGCAGGGTGCTCTCTTTTTTTTATAATACTTTTTATTGATTTTAACATATAAATTATAATACGTACCACAAAACTTTATCACTTATGTAATCTTTTTGGACTTCCATCAGCACCTCTGATGATCCACCGTTTTAATCACTTCTTATGCGTTTCTTAACTTTATTTTACCTTTAAATTTCTTAACTAATCATCCTCCCCCTTATCCATTTTTGCAATAGTTCCAATAATACTCCTCACAAAACTTCTTGCAAACCTACAAACATCGTCTGATCTTCACAAATACTTTTCAAATAATCCGTAAATTTACTCCAGTCTTCTGTGAATCTCTGGTCCCGCCGATTTCGAATCCTTCCTGTTAGTTTGTCCAGTTCTGCACAGTCCATTAATTTCATCCTCCAAATTAGCAGGGTGCTCTCAATGGCCTCTGAGCATGCACCGAGTGTGTTTCTCCTTTCCTTTCTGCAAGTACAGCATAAAGGTGATTTTTAAATTTATTTAAAAAGTCGTAAGGACAAAGTGACCCAGAACAAGCACGCTGTGTCTTTCTCTCACCAACAACCCCCACAGAACAGAGGCTCTTCAAAAAGGAAGAGCAACGTGCCTCTGAGCGTGTGCAGAATGCGCCCCTGAAGATAATTCACTGTTTTTTTTAAAGAAATGCATAGAAAAAAATGAAATGATTTTAGAATGTTGTACCATTTTAATGTTGTTAGCCGCTTCGGCTGGGGAGGGTGGGATATAAATAAATTATTATTATTATTATTATTATTATTATTATTAATGCAGAAGGTCCCAGGGTTGGTCTCCAGCATCTCTTAGACCCCTGCCTGAAACCCTGGAGAGCAGCTGCCAGTCAGTGTGGACAATACTATGGGCAGCCCCGAACCATAGATTTAAAGCACATTTCAAACGCATGGCATCCCCCAAGGAATGCTGGGAACGGTAGTTTGCCAGGGATTCTGCGAGCGAGGGAAACTACAGCTCCCATGAGCCTCCTGGGGAAGCCGTGTGCCGGATATGTGTGTGTTGGATGTGCTTTAAATGCATCCCATTTGGTGTGGACCCAGAGCCAGGTGTCCTTAGGAGGGAGAGGATGCTGTGGTACCCAGGAGTGGGAGGAGCTTCGCCTGGGTGTGGCCAGGAGGGGGCGTGGCCTCTCACAATGATGCTTGTGACACAGCCCAGTTGCCATGGGGCAGAAGCTCACGCAGGTCACAATAGGGGTCCCTCGGGTACTTAAGGCGGGGGCCCTGCCACCTAGGACCCACTTTGCCCGGGGCCGGGAGGCACTGCCCAGCAAAACGCGGCGGAACCGGGCACCCACAAACACCCTTTCTTGGACCAAGAACTGCCTTTATCCGCTATCATTCTCCAGCCCCTCTTTCTGCGCCATCAGCAAGCGCCGCCTTAGATATCGGCGGAAAATGACGCCCAGTGGCAAGAGGTAAGAGGTGGCGACGCATGGGTGCCACCTTGGAGGACGTGCCACCCATATATTGCTAGGCACATATAGTGCGCACGGCCAAGGATCAGAGACTATGGGAGCGGCTGCATGTCCCCCATCCCAGGACTGGGAACTTTTGGACCCCCAGATTTTGTTGGGACAGCTGCCTGGAGATGAAGAAGCACCATAGTTCAGTGGTGGCACAGCTGCTTGTCATACAGAAGGCCTCGGGTTCAAGGCCCGGCATCTCCAGGCAGAGCTGTGTCAGAGACATGTTTTCAGAATGAAGAGGACTAGGATCTTGCTTCATTTTTAAATCTCAGTGGTAGAGCATCTGCCTTGCAAGCAGCAGGTCCCAGGTTCAGTGCCCCCACCATTTCCAGGTAGGGCTGGAGGAGACTCCTCTCTGAAATGCTGTTACGCTGCTGCCAGCCTGTGTAGACAATATTGAGCAAGATGGACCAATGGTCTGACTCCGCTTCAATCCGCTCGCTTCCTATTTCCCTATTTAAGTCAGCCCATTATACTGCAGATATTAATATTGCACAGCAACTGGAAGCATACAAGCTGACTCCTTGTTGACCAGACCCATAGGTTTGATTTGAGCTTTACTTGCAAAACTTTCTTCAAAACAGAACAAAAACACCAGAGATACATCCAGATAATTCCATGAACTTATCTTGTGCGTGGCTAGCACAGGCTCGACTTCTTAAAAATAACTTTGAACAGGATTGAGATCAAAACTGTTGTCTGTCACCCATTCCAGCCCGAGACTGCGGGCTCCTGGAGAGCTTCCTTATCGCAACTTGCTTCCACTCTGGCTAGGATCAAAACACTACAGTCATACCTCGGGTTAGATGTGCTTGAGGTTGAGCGTTTTCAAGTTACGCTCCATGGCAACCCGGAAGTAACGGAGTGCATTACTTCTGGGTTTCGCCGCTCGCGCATGCGCAGACGCTCAAAATGACGTCACGCGCATGCGCGGAAGCGGCAAAACACGATTCGCGCACTCGCAGTCGCGTCTTATGTTTTACTCAGGATGCAAACAGGGCTCTGGAATGGATCCCGTTCGCATCCAGAGGTACCGCTGTAAAGGCATCTCCCTTTCAAGAAGAGTTGATTTGCAACCCAATACTTCCCGTGTGATCTAAAGTTAAACACATTGTCAGAACTACCAGATAACAGTAACAGTTAATTTCCAACCCATTGAGAAGCTCAGAGGAAAATCTCCCATGTTAAAGCCTTCGGGCATTTTTCATTTCAGTGTGAATTGAGCCATTATACTTTACACATTATTATTCAGAATTATGGGGCCTAATGTCAAGTTTCCAGCCCCTTGTGTTCAAAGCACTTGCCGATTTCAGAACCTGCTTCCCGGGCTTATCCATGCCGTCTATTTCCTTGTCTCCGTTCTGCGGCACAGCTCAACCCTTACCCAACGTGAGAGCTTGAGTATCCGGCCCCGCTACTGCCCGCAGTGTTCCTGAGTTCGTCGGCGGCTGCCCAGACAGGAGAAGGAGCCTCGAAGGAGACCAAGCGAGCCTTAAAGAGGTATATAAGGTAGGCTTCTTCTGCCTCGGGCCTTTCCGGCCTTGCATCGGATCAGTCATTATTATTATTAGAAATTTTATTACGGTCCAGGGACCCAACAAATCCTTACAAAGCAATGCACAATTCAGACAGCCTACCTCCAGGTTAAACAAGCATTTTGTTCAAAAGATAGGGATCATTGGTTCTTGCAACCACCGATAAAAACTTTATCACTGCTAGTGTTCTAGTGTTTGCCCGGTCTTCCAATAGGAACCTGACATAGTGAGCCTCTGATTTTCCCGAGAAAGGTACCAGCAAAGGTAATATCAGTTCAGCCCTGGCTTGCTCATACTTTGCACAGTGCAGCAAAATATGCTTTATGGAATTGATGTCTTGAGCACGCGAGCAAAGTCTGTCCTGGTAGGGAGCTCCTCTCAACCTGCCATCCAACACTGCAGAAGGAAAGACGTTTAGTCTGGCTTTGGTGAATAACGTTCAATAATTTGGTACTGTCAGGTTTTTAATGTAAGATGTTAACTTAAAGACATGCCCATATTGTACTCCTACTGCCAGTGGACTACAGACTGCGTGTGATCGAGATCGCAAGTCACTGTGTGCATTATCCCATAATCTTTGCTTTAACGTCTTTATGGCACCTTCATAACCCAGGTAATAGAGTTGGGGTGGGGTGGGGTGATAGACCAATAGAGGTAGCTTTTCTAGCCATGGTTTTCTGCCATTTGCTGACAAACTCCTCATTGGTCAGGTGTTGGTACAAACCCTTCCCTAGATCAAACACTGAAATCCTGAGCCAATGTTTTAGGCCAGCCCACCACGCTTTAATTGAAATTGGGCGTTCACCAGCTTCTAACAGAAGTATGGAGTTGGGGACACAGTTGGGTACCTGCAGCAGAGATCGGAGAAATTTTGCCTGAAAGCCATCTAGCTTAGGCTGGTCCCCATTATGCCAGCCATTTGCAGCGTACAGGAGTTGGGAAATGGATTTTGCGTTGAAAACCCTTAAGGCTGCTGGAACATATTTGCCGCCCTTTGTGTTATAATAGACCACCATCTGCTTGCACAATGCTGTACAAAAGTGCACAGAAAGGGTCCCAGCCCCAATGAGCTTACAATCTGAAATTTGACAACAGGGCTCCCCCCCCCATTATATATCTACCCCACCTTTTTTCTCCAAGGAGCTGAAGATAGCATACACAGTTTGCCCCTACCCTCCAACATCAGGGAAATATCCTCTGCCTGAAGTCCTGAACAGCTGCTGCCAGTTCGTGTAGACAACACTGGGTTTGATGGACTCATGGTCTGGCTCAACACAAGGCAGATTTCTCCGGGGAGAATATTCATTCAGCCTTTACTGACACAATTTAGACAATAAAAATCACATAAAATATTTGCAATACAGACCTATTGAACACATATAAAACATATAAAAGACTCAGTAGCCACCATTAAGTAGTTTTAAATGAGACTTTGAAAAAATCTCAACTAAATAGTCTGAAACCATCTCAGTAGTTGGGTGGGAATATCATCCCTCAGCGGATATTGGATTAAAGATGCTTTGCAAATAGATACTTTCAGTTTCAAAGGAGTCGCCAGCAGGTCTCTCCAAAGAGTGTTGATTTCACAAACTGAGTTGGGGGGGGGGGGGAAGGTTGTGGACTCATTGTTTTGCTAGTTTCCTTCCTTCGACTGGTTTAAATATATTGCATGGGATTGGGCGATATATACCCTCTGGGGTCTCCTTCCAAAGTCTCCAATTTTCTAACGAAATGTTGCCACAACTCAGCACTTGTGCAAACCAGCTGACATCTCCCTCTTGTGCAGGGATGGTGGCATTTTAGCAAATCAATCAGTCAATCAAACAATCAATCAATCAATCAATCAATCAATCACTGGCACTCTTCACCTGAAAGAAGGGGGATTCTGCTAAGGTGTTTTCTAACCAGTAGTTGCAAACGTTTCACCCAATAACTGCCCAGGCTGGGAATCTCACTGTTTTCGCCGGCGAGCGCCAACGTCCCGACCAGCCGGTTCAGTTGGACTTCCATTTTGCCCGCGGCAGCCAGGGGGTCAGCCACTGGCACGGCCTCCTCCAGGCACGCACGGTCTTCCTCGACACGCCTCACCTTGCCCTGGACTGCAACAGCCGCGAAAGGTGAGAGCGGTTCTCCGCTGCAACTGGGTGTCAGAAGTGGGTGGCTTTGTCACTGCGCGCGGAGTAGACCCACTGAATGTCCCTACGTTGGCCGTGCCCGTTCTTTTTCAAGATGTCTGCTCTGAGTAGGACTAATGTTGGAAACAGCCCAGCGTTTTCCCAGCAATTTAGAGACCACCGCTCACCCCCACCCCAGCTCTCGTGGGGGGAAATATTAGAAGCAAAGAGACGGAGGCAATAGTTCAGAACCAATGGAACTCAAACCCAAGCCCAAACCCAAGGCACTGAGGATTTATTTATGGGCAGAGATGCTCTTGGTGCTGTCGCCCGCACCTGACTGTGGGAACCTAAGATTTACAGAAGTAGGAAAATAGTTGATGGGTTGGGGTGGAACTTCGGAAACAGCCCAGAGTGTTCTGAGCATGCTCAGTGATAATGGGGTACTAATGTTTGTATGTGTAATGGAAGAGCCAGAGGGAGGGAGGAAATGGAATAGAGTGCTGTATTTTTTGCTCTATAAGACTCACTTTTCCCCTCCTAAAAAGTAAGGGGAAATGTGTGTGGGTCTTATGGAGCGAATGCAGGCTGCGCAGCTATCCCAGAAGCCAGAACAGCAAGAGGGATTGCTGCTTTCACTGCGCAGCGATCCCTCTTGCTGTTCTGGCTTCTGAGATTCAGAATATTTTTTTTCTTGTTTTCCTCCTCCAAAAACTAGGTGAGTCTTGTGGTCTGGTGCATTTTATAGAGCGAAAAATACAGTATCTTCAACAAGAGCTCCTTGCACTGCAATTTTTTGCTGCAGCTAACATCAATAGATTTCCACCTCCCAAAATGGCCGATTGAACCGCTAGCAAACTTGGCACTATGCTTTGGCTCTGTAAATGATTGTGGGGTGCATGCAAAGGGAGTGGGGTCAGACTGGGGCACTTATGACTGGACCTCCAATTTAAAATGGGGGCAAAAACACACACACCTTTCCCTGTATGTAGAAATCTAGCATGTCAGGGAGAAGAGTAGCCTTTTCTGTGACAGTCTGGATTTCTAGGTCCAGGGAATTCTTTGGATGGATTCACTCATGGGAGCTCTCACAATTCAGTGGTACGGGCCACACACAACCCGAACACCTTACTGAGGACTAGTCCCTTTGCAAGCCCTGCTTGCAAGAGAACAGCACCCTTAGTAATAATAAACACTCAATGTGGACCCTGTGGCTGTTTCTGCTCCTAGCCTGACTGCAACGCTGGAATACGTGGAAGAAAATACAGAGGCAGACCAGGTGCTTGTTAACTTCCACAAGACTCGACGGGACAGGGGTAAGGAAAGAAAAAGATTCCCCTTGCTAACAGAATCTGGGTTTTGGGTCCTGAATTCCACATGCCAGAAATCTGGAGATGATATAGAAAAGGGCAAAGGGGGGGGGAATCCCAATTCCAAATTTGGGCTTTTATTAGGCCAGAAAAAACCACCCTAAAAAAGCATTAAAAAGGGCCAGAACATTTTGGTCGAGCGTCATCCAATTCGGTCACCAGGTAGGTCCAGGAGAGAACCTTGCCTGAAACCGCAGAGATGCTGCCGGTCAGAGCAGACAGACTTAGCGGGACTAATGGTCTGGCTCACTCTAAGGCAGCTTCCTATGTTCCGATTCAAAGCCACGTTTTTTTCAGAACCATGAGGACTGGAACCTTTACTTTACTCCAAGGGGGTCCCAGGTTCAATGCCCAACGGCGTCTCCAGATAGGGCCGGAATCTACCTTTCTTTAGAGTGTGAGGTGGAAGGCAGAGTGAAACCAGTTTGCTACTGGACCAGTTATGTTCATTCACAAATCCCTGTAACAGCTTGGTGTGCAAACACTACCTGATCCTTTACACTCCGCCACGATCCTCTGGCGGGGCGCTTTCAGAGGTTGCTCGCGCACCTCTTGAGGTTCAGTCAGCTCTGTGCCCCTGCGGAACTCCTTGCCACTAGAGGTTGGGCAGGAATAATCCCTGCCTTGCTTTTGATGCCTGTTAATCAGACAGGGCTCTGCCATGCAGTTTTCTTTTTACCAGCCAGCACCGATCGATGTTTCTACTGCTCTTAAGGGAAGCGCGTATATACACTGCATTTTTATGGCTTGACAAACATGCGGATAAATGGGATAAACCAGAGGAAAGATGAGGAAAGATATTCTTGCCCCTGGTTTCCTAATCTTCTTTTTCTCCCCTCGCTCGAAGGAGACTTGCTACGAGCCTTTGGCTTCTTGGGTTTCACGCTCCTGCGGCCAGATCACCCTTCCCTTCCTCCCTGGGAGGACGTCATCTTCATGGCTTACCCCATGGAACGAGAACTTTGCCAAGCGGAGGAGGATGAGAAGTGGAGGACCCGGAAACCAGACCCATCTGGGAGGCAGGATGGGGCTGTTCTTGGCGGACAGGCTCCCTGAATGAGCAGATCACAGATTCCCCCAGAGGGTGGCATTAAACTGGCACCACAGCTCACAGCATCCTGTTTGTTTCTTTGTTTAAAGGTAAAGAGACCCCTGACCATTAGGTCCAGTCGTGACCGACTCTGGGGTTGCGGCGCTCATCTCACTTTACCGGCCAAGAGAGCCGGCGTACAGCTTCCGGGTCATGTGGCCAGCAGGACTAAGCCACTTCTGGCGAACCAGAGCAACGCACGGAAACACCGTTTACCTTCCTGCAGGGCCGCCAACCAGCGACTAGTTCCTAAGTCAGCTAATGCCAAGCGTGGTTTGGGTCTCCCTCTTCCCCCTCCCCATCTCGTAAATCCCCGTTATGTTAAGACGGAACAGCTGTCCTTTGTTCCTCTGGTCATGGTACACATCTGTATGAGGAGGGTCAGTTGAGGTCCAGCTCCGAGGGCCTTCTGGTGGTTCCCTCACTGCGAGAAGACAAGTTACAGGGAACAAAGCAGAGGGCCTTCTCGGTGGTGGCACCCGCCCTGTGGAACGCCCTCCCACCAGATGTCAGAGAGAAAAACAACTACCAGACTTTCAGAAGACATCTGAAGGCAGCCCTGTTTAGGGAAGCTCTTAATGTTTAATAGGTTATTGTATTTTAATATTCTGTTGGAAGCTGCCCAGAGTGGCTGGGGAAACCCAGCCAGATGGGTGGGGTATAAATATTAATTATTATTATTATTATTACTACTACTACTATCCTCCATCCATTTGTCTAAACCTCTTTTAAAGCCCTCCATACGCCCTGCTTGTGAGGCAATCCCATGGTTTACCTATGCACCGTGCTCAGCACTGGTTTCTTCCTGACAAGAATTTGAGAACAATCCAAAAACGAGCCTTTATTTAAAGAGGAAAACAAGAATCAATGTAATAATGCATGTAACGCACACTGAGTTCAAACACTGCATTTTGTTTGTGGGGGGACAAGGTGGACACAGCGCCAAAGGAGATTCCAACTTTTACGTGTGACGCCCAGTCTTGTCTGTCCCCCCCCCCAGACGTACACATGAAAACTCCCACCATGTCCAAAACTAGGATGCTTTTTAAAAATAATAATGGGCAAACCCCCCTCACCTATTGGGAGCAGGAGGCAATGAGGTCTCTTTTGGACAACTCAATCTTCTTGCTTCGGAGAAAAGGCCAACCCCCTTTTAACAACAAAAGAATGGGGCTCAACCTAAGGTTTTTAAGACTTGTGTCACAGTAGGGCTAGATGTTGAGGGCACCCCTTCTCTCACCACCACCCCCAGGCCAAAATGGCCCGAGGCAGGTTGCCGCTCCTAACAACCCTCTAGATCAGGCCTGGGGCACCTCTGTGCCTCTAGAGGTTGCCGGACTACAATTCCCATCATCCACGCCAGTGGCCATGGATGATGGGTGTTGTAGTCCGGGAACATGTGGATACACAAAGGCCCCCCTGCCCTGCTCTAAGCTGGACTCAGCCTCCCTCCCTGACCCCTTCCCATATCTGAAACGTCAAGCTGCCCATCGCCACTGCCATTTACAACCACCCTTGTGAGAGGACGGCTGTCGTTCAGCCTGTCATCTTAACGATGGTTTGCCTCCTTTGAGCTTGGCCTAATCGATGGTCTTGCAGCCCATCAGCACATGCAATAAAAGTCACCTGATGCAATCCTGCCGGACTGTACTATTTAAGGATACGGCTGGGGGACAGGAGAGCCCTTTGGGGACAACCCCCTCCGTTTCAAATGCAACAACAACGCTAGGAGAGAACTTCTTTGCCCGCTCCGCAATATGATAAGGAGGCATTGAATTTGGACTGGGTGTGGTGGGAGCATTCGCACCGTTCCCCCCAGGCAAACCGAAAAATGGTATGGCCCTGGAAACATATGACCCACAGAAACCGGATGAACAAAGGTCGCTGCAGTTGGTTCCCTACCCACCCTGTGGCAGAGGAAAGAGGCGCAGTTAGCGAAGCCAACAGAACTTAGAATAAGGATGCAACGTTCCTCTGCCGAGGCCAGCTGACCCGCAGAAAAAAAGACGATGACTAGTAGCTGTGCTCGTCTCCCAGCTGCTAGTACCGGTCGAGGATCAAGAGGACAGAGTCTCAACCCACAGCTGGGCATCTGTGCGTTGGCAAGATCCTCAACGGAATGCTTGACGCTTCACTGCAATGGTGCTAACAAAACTCTGCAAATAAACAACAGCAGCACATGCGGATCCTTCTCGGAAATCCCTTTGGGAAAGCCATGACCACGCGGAACAGAACACAGCTCTGGGCCTGCTGAAGTCTTAAAATTTTGCAAGCTTTGAGAAAGTCTTTTTTTTAAAAAAGTAAGGCTCTTCGCGGCTACAGCCAACAGGCGTCCACTTCCCCTTGGACATGGCGACATGCCAAAAGCGTCAACTTCCCCTGGCCGGTCAAGAAGTCGGGATGTTCCAGAGTCACTGAGTGAAGCTGGAGGGACAGGTGATTGATTCCCTGTGCTGCTCAATTCCAGGCAGAAAACCTGGAAGCAAAAGTGGGGACAAGAGAAGGAGAGATCAAATTCCCCGTGATTTACAAACAGCTGCCACCCATTCTTTCTAATAACCAAATCGGCTGCCTTCGTGCCAAGCCTTTTCCCAGCACAGCAGCTGCCCATTTCTCCCCAAATGGTTTCTCCACATTTGGGAGACTTGCCAGGTACGCAGAAATGTTAAGTGTGCAAATTTAAAGCCCCTCAAAAGTGAGCAGACGAGAACTTGAGAAGAGCCTGTTGGATCAGGCCAATCGACTGGGCACCGAGGTTCTTGCTCACTCACAATCCTTCCTCTCTCAGGAAGGGCCCCCCAGAGACTCAGCACCCCAGGAACTCACCGGCTTCACAGCGGGGCTCCCCACCTGCGCAGCTCAAGGGGTCAAGGAGCCACTGTCCAACGGAAGGAGCTCACCGGCCTCCGAGACGGAGGCAACCTCTGCAGAGGGGTTGGGAAAAAGTGAGTGTTAGGACAAGGTTTGCTGGGGGGTTTCGCGCTACCGTTAACAGCGACAGTGTACCACAGGGAGTGTAGATGTGCTCAGAAAGTACCCCAGGAGGGCAAGCCCCTTCAAGCGAGTGTGTTAAACCCCACAAGAAGCACAGGATGAAACCCGGGATTTGAGCCCGACAACCACCAACTTGGAGACCCGTGCTGTTAAGTCTTATTGTGCCCAGTGCTACCAGAGGATGGGAGATCTTTCAGCAAAGCGGCCCCCAAAGGTCTGAGTGGGTGCTGCTGCAATGGGCAACAAAGAGGGCAGGCAACCACGCTTGTCATTTTTAGCTGATCACATATAAAACGGGCGGCTTTTCCAAGATGCTGAGGACAAGGCAATAGCTCAGCAAATCATGAAAGAAAGCTACAGCCTGCGGAAAGGTCCCTTTCACAGAGTACGGTAGATCCAGGAAAACCTGAAGGAGGTGTTGGGATCGTGCTACTCGCGTGTAGGACCCTGGCAGAGACATATGCCCGACTGGCATGTTCTCTCCCTCCTGGTCGTCGTTCGGGAGCTTCAAAAGCTTTCTTCAGCCCGAACATCACAGCGACCGATTCCAACAGACACCGGCACACTTAGGGATCCACAGAGTCTTCACAACTTGCGTGACATACCTCAGCAACTCAGCATTTTGGCTAATCTACTTTATTTACATATAACACACTTGAGGCATTCTGCCTTAGCTCCTTCCTCTTTCTCATCAGACAGCAAAGAGAAGAACAAAGGAAAATAGTCCCACTTCACAGAACACAGTAATACCAAAACATCCCGTCTCCGTCACTTCCCACACTGTGGAATGAAAACATACACCATCATGTGATAGAAAACAATCCCATGACTGCGAACACAGAGCAAGAACCCTAACAGGAGGTCGTGTGTCAACTTCCAGTCTCGATGGCTCCCATTAGCCTTCAGGGGTCAACCAACTTAAATGAAAGTCGATTAATCTACGCATAAAAAGTAGCAGCTTTCCCCCAAATACCTAAGGTCCCAGTCCTCATGGTTCTGAATAAAAGGGTTGATACTTGAGGTCTGGTGGGGGCCCCACAGTCTCCTACCTAGGGATGTTTCCCCTCCACCCCCAGAGCTCTCCAGAACACAACCGCCGTCCCAAAGCAGAGGTGATCAAGGCAACCAAAGCTGGCATCCCGTGTGTGACAGGCAGTGCGTCCAGTGGCCCCCGGCTCAAGCGCAGTGCTCCCCCTTCGACACCTCCAGGAGTGCAGCTTCAAGCGCAGAGGACCGTACCTTCCCTCCCGCTGCCTTCAGAAACGGGGCTGGAGGGGCTGCAGGACGTGCCACTAGACTCGTCGTCGAGAGAGGGGGACCCTTTGCAGTAGAAGACCGAGGAATCGCAAGTGTCCCCGGACGAGGAGAGGTAGTAGAAGTAGCCCCGGGGAGAGTAGGTGCTGCTGTCTGCCTGGCTGATTGACAGGTCCTCCACGCCGGGGGAGCCTTCGCTCGAGAGCCAGGGGGACGAGGCCCCCTCTCCGGGTTGGCCAAGACTGCTGGGGGTGGACGCCTGATCCGCTTTGGCCGCCCACAGCTCAACGTCCGGCAGAGGGGTCAACTCCATCGCCGCCTCTGCCTGAGCGGGCGTTTCTGGAGGCGGGTTCGAATCGGAGCGGCCACTGCCGCCCCCCGTTTCACAGGGGCGAGGGGTGGAGGGGAAATCCTCCGAGGGGGTGGCAAAGGGGAGGGAGAGCTGCAGGGACTCCAGCGAGGGGGGGAGACCTTCCAGGGTGGATGCCAAGCAGTGGGGGGGCTCCGTCTCGTCCTGAGGTCCTTCAACAGGCTCATCTGAAAAGGGCTGAGTTCATTTCACACACAAAAAAGACACACACTGCCTGGTTGCAAAAAACCTCAATGCGGTTTACAAAAAAAAAAAAAAGATTACTGGTATGAAACAATCTTAAGAATTCCGAAAAGCTTTTTTTAAAAATAGACTTAAAGACAGATTAAAACTTGCATCAACTTCCCAGTATGCTTATTATTTTTAATATTCATAAAATAAGTATAAAATATTGGGGGGGGCCCTACTGGTTTTATTTTTATGTATTTTGTGGCTTTCTATCTTGGTTTTATTCTGTGAACTGCCCTGGTAAAGGGCGGTATATAAATTCAATAAATAATAATAAAAAATAATAACTTGCGTACTGCCCTACACCCGTGGATCTCAGGGCGGTTCACAACATAATACAATATAAAAAACCCACAAAATACATAGTAAAAACAAGAGCTTGTCTAAACGCACGTGTTTTTAAGCAGGTGGCAAAAAAAGAGTACAGCAAAGGTGCTTCACTTCTCAATTGGCAGGGAGTTCCAAAGTGCAGCTGCTGCTAAAATGTTGAGTTCTTACAAGGGCAGAATGGGTGGTAGATGACACTTGTAGAAGTGCCGATTCTGCCAGGGCACCCATGGGGTAAGGCTATCTCGTGGGTAGACTGGTCCCGAGTTGTTAAGGGCTTTATTCACTAGTAGTAACTCCTTGAACCTGGCACTGTTAAACACGCACCGGAAGCAGCCGTCCTTCGCAAAGGGCTACCAAGACTCAAAGATGGAGACAGGACACTTTCTAAGGGGAATCAGCCAAAGCCTGTCTCTTGCTTTAATTCCCTCTGTAAACCCCCCCCCCCCCAAACACACTCCATTTACACTGTGTCAGGAGTTATTCAAGGTGCAGGATAGAGAAGGGGTTGTATTCAATGCAGCACTAATAAAATAGTTCCAGGAACGTTCTTGCTCTTTCCTAAACGGTCCTGAGTTCCCCCCAAACTGCTGGAGCAGATTTGGGGGCAACAAGAGACACACATTTTTGGGGAGAGAGGGGAAGGGGAGTCACACTGACCCCTGCATTAGCGCAATTATTGAGCTGAATACTGAGCAAAATATAAATGACTCTCCCCATAGTGCAGAAGATTTGATAGGAAAACTACCGTCCAAAGATGTTCATACTAAATTCGGCCATGACCAAAAAAGATATGGTGCTGTGATTTATTTATATATAATGGAAGTGTGGCTTAACGGTTAGTGGGTTAAGCCAGGGCTCACATCCCCACTAGGGATAGAAATTTGGCTGGGTGTCACTGTCTCTCGGACAAGCCTACCTTGTTGTGGGAATAAAAAGGATAGAGGAAGAACGTTGAATGTCATTTTGAGAAACTTGGATATAAATGTCAGTAGCGAATACACCGGTTGCTGATTTGCTACCTGGCCAGGTTCAAGGTGCTATTTTTAGTCAATAAAATAAAGCCCCCGCTCTACGTTTGTAAGAATCCATCATGGGAACTCCCTGCCTATTGAGGCACCTTCACTGTGCTCTTTTCCGCACCTGCTGAAAACGGTTTTGTTTGGGAAGTGATGAGGCTTGAGTGCAAAAGCAGGGACTGAAGGAGCTGTGTGCGTACTTGGAAAGCCTGTATGGGACTCACAGAACAAGCGCCCAGAAGTCAGTTTTAGGCAGCTTCCGGTGTCCTCGCGTTCCTGTTTTTGGAAGTGACCAGGGCACACTGGTGTACAAACCCACGTGGTAGGACAGAGGAGCTTACCGGAAAGGCTGAGGCAAGACAAAGTGAGGGGCATCTCGTCGGGGGTCTTCTGCGTGTCTGAGAGAAGACTCTCCAGGGACACCCCCGTCGTGTCTCCCTAGGGGCCGAAACAAGGGCTGTCAAGGCACATGCAGAATGAGAAAACGTTTGGCCCTGGCAGCTTCTTCCTCTCTCCCCTCTGGAAATACGGCTTACAGAGTTTGGTGCTTCTTCCAGATTCATAAAGCCATATGGAATTGGAGAGTCGGAAGGGACCCAGACGGCCATCTAGGCCAACCCCCTGCGATGTCAAAACGTCTCATAAAAACAGCCTGCTGGGTAAGGCCAATGGCTCAGGAGTCCGGCATCCTGTTCTCACAGTGGCCGATGAGAAGCCTCTTTGCGAGCAGAACGAGAGTGCAAGAACCCTCTGCCCCCTCCACCAACTGGTATTCAGAAGGGTTTCTGCCTCTGAACGTGAAGGCAGAGCACGGCCATCGTGGATGGACAAAGCCAAGACTCTGGGATGCAGCATAGGTGGAAGTCACAAAGGAGGAATGGATTTGTAAACAAAAGGAATATTTAATTTTGGCAAAATTAACTGCCCTAATAAGAAATTAGTCGAATCAAAAATTAAAAAAAGGAGTGGAAATGTTTTGATGAATATATGGCAAGATATTGCTAAAAATATATACAGTGGTGCCTCGCAAGACGAAATTAACCCGTTCCGCGAGTGTCTTCGTCTAGCGGTTTTTTCGTCTTGCGAAGCAACCCTATTAGCGGCTTAGCGGATTAGCGCTATTAGCGGTTTAGCGGCTATTAAAGGCTTATCGGCTTAGCTGCTAAAAGGCTATTAGCGGCTTAGAAAAAGGGGGGGGAGCAAAAAAAAATCTCAAGACTCGCAAGACATTTTCGTCTTGCAAAGCAAGCCCATAGGGAAATTCGTCCTGCGAAGCAACTCAAAAACGGAAAACCCTTTCGTCTAGCAGGTTTTCCGTCTTGCGAGGCATTCGTCTTGCGGGGCACCACTGTATAGGCTAATATGCCTAGATTAAAATGTGAAGTACAGTGGTGCCTCGCAAGACGAAATTAATCCGTTCCGCGAGTCTCTTCGTCTTACGGTTTTTCGTCTTGCGAAGCACGGCTATTAGCGGCTTAGCGGCTATTAACGGCTTAGCGGCTTTAAGAAAAAGGAAACAAACTCGCAAGAACTCGCAAGACGTTTTGTCTTGCGAAGCAAGCCCATAGGGAAATTCGTCTTGCGGAACGACTCAAAAAACGCAAAACCCTTTTGTCTAGCGAGTTTTTCGTCTTGCGAGGCATTCGTCTTGTGGGGCACCACTGTACTGGATGGAAGAAAAATTAGTAAGGAAAGATAATAAGAATATACAGATGATCTGAGAAGACTGCAGAATGCAAAGATTATTGTAAATTGTATAATGTGGAGGACATTGAGTGGGGGCAGAGGGAAGTGGGAGGAAGGAGAAAAGAATAATATGATGGATTGAGGAAATGTAAATGTATGGGGAGATGAGGAAATGGTGTTGGCTTTGGTACATCTGTATTGTAATGTAATATAATATGTGAAAACCAATAAATAAATTTTAGAAAAGAGAGAGAGAGAGAAAAGACTTTGGGATGCAGGAAACGGCACCTCCCCCAACATCCTGCCCACTCCCTGTTTCAAGCAAGAGTTTCAGCTGCCATCCTAAGGACTAGAATCTTGTGCTCTTCTCACTTGCTAGCCTGCCTGGAGCACGGAGCCCAAGAGCAAAGCTTTCGGCTGCAATCATGAGGACTACCATCTTGTTTCCCAGCATTTGGAGCCGGCCCACAGCCCAGAGCCACTGTCCCAACCTATTCAATGCAAGGGAGATCATTACCCCATTACTCACCAGGCTTCTGTGCTGGGCACCTCTGTCCAACGGATCGGGTCCATCTCCAGCCCCGCTGTCTCCCTCCTGCAGGCACTGCACCGCGTAGCCCAGCCGCACCAGCTCTGCACCGACGTCGATGTCCTGAAATCGGAAGGGGAAAGAGGGGCTTGTGGTTTGTGCAAAGGACCCAGTTCTCCACCCCTGAACTCGATCCTCCTTGCCCGTTAAATAGGGTGCTAGCGAACCTGGGCTGTACATCCATATTGGGCTGAGATTTTTAGTTGTTGTAAGATCTTAACAGGGATGCGGGTGGTGCTGTGGGTTAAACCACAGAGCCTAGGACTTGCCAATCGGAAGGTCGGCAGTTCGAATCCCCGTGACAGGGTGAGCTCCCATTGCTCAGTCCCTGCTCCTACCAACCTAGCAGTTCAAAAGCACGTCAGAGTGCAAGTAGATAAATAGGTACCACTCCGGCGGGAAGGTAAACGGCGTTTCCATGTGCTCTGGTGTCCCATTGCGCAAGAAGCAGTTTAGTCATGCTGGCCACATGACCTGGAAGCTGTCTGCGGAGAAACGCCGGCTCCCTCAGCCTATAGAGCGAGATGAGTGCCGCAACCCCAGAGTCGGTTACGACTGGACCTAATGGTCAGGGGTCCCTTTACCTTTTTAAGATCTTAACGCTCAAACCACGGAACGGCACCACACAAACCGTGCCCTACCTGCCCGCTGGTGGTATTGTACAATCTGACGTGAGGCCAGGTGCTGCTCCCAGCAGGCAGGTAGCTGGAGATCTTCGCCAGCACCGGCTTCCACTTGGCGCAGTGTGTGAGGCGGTCAAACTCGTCCAACGCAGCTTCGGACCAAGACTCTCCTGTTCAAGACACGGAAGCAAAAAGACATCAAGGTCAAGCAGCCCCATCCTAAGCGCGTCTCCCCTGGAAGGGGGATCCCTGCCAGATTAAAACTGTGCGCCCCCAAACCAAGCAGTGCGTGGAGGGTGGCAACACGAGAACGGGGCATTATTGGTGGTGGGACCCTCGCGCCCTAGGAATGCTCTGCTCGGGCAGATGTACCTGGCACCGTCCTTGCCAGTCTGCGGCCTTTTAACTCAGGCCTTTGGCAATCAAGTTTCCTTCTCTGAGCAATGGGAGCTCACCCTGTTTTTATTGGCTGAAAAAAGTGTATAGCCGGAGGCCTTTACAACAAACAGCAGAGGGCAAGAGCAAGGCTTTCTTCTGAAATCACACAGCATAGCCTATGAAATTTTACAGCATTAAAAATTCGCAGCATAAAGTTTTAAAATTAGAAAGCATCAACAGAACGGAAGAAAGCATCAACGGAGCTGGAATGGAGCCTCTTAGCTGCCAGAGCAAATTTGACTACCAGGCATGTAATTTGTAGATCTTTATCGGCTAAAAGTTTGACTGTCACTTCCTAGGGGCAGCGACACCTTTTAGTAGGGTGGACTGGACTTGTCTTTATCAACAGCATGTTGCTGGTGAATCTCCAAAAATTAGAACATCGTGGAAAAGTTTATTTATTTCAGTAATTCAGCTTAAAAGCTGCTATTGAAGCATCCTGGTCTTTCATAACACCTCAGCAGTGCCACAGGCTGATAGCCTCTATGCCATGCTGCACTGAGGCAGTAATTGATGCAAAAGGGGCACAAACCAAGTACTGAGTACATATGCGTGCTTCTACTTCTCAGAGGTCCAATATTGCTCTATTTGCAATTTGCTGATTTCATTTAATTTTCTAAATTTTTGAGATTGTTAATTTGGGGTTTTCATCAGCTGTATGCCATAATCATCACAATTATAACAATTAAAGGCTTGACATCTCTCGCTTTGCATGTCATGAGTCTATCTCATATATTACCACGATATTCTAATTTTTTGAGTTTCACCTGTATATCCTGGTTCCATGGCCTGCTTTGCAGGACGACTTGGTTAAGAACATAAGAGCATCTGAGCTGGATCAGGCCCACCCAATCCAGCACCCTGTTCTTACAGCAGCCAAACAGATGCCTCTTCTGGGAATCCCGCAAACAGGACCCAGGCGTGGCAGCAACGCTCCCCACTTGCGATTCCCAGCGTCTAGTTTTCAGAAGCGATTCACCTCTGAGAGTGGAGGAAGAACATTGCGGCTAGTAGGCTTTGGTGGCCGTTAATAATAATAATGATAATAATAATAATAAATTTTATTTATACCCCGCCCTCCCCAGCCAGAGCCGGGCTCAGGGCGGCTAACACCAGTAAAAGCACAGTAAAAACATATTGGGGGGGGGAAAGGGGGGGGACCAATTTAAAATACAGATTAAAATGCAATTTAAAATGCAGCCTCGTTTTAAAAGTAGCCGATAGATCAAGACCATAAGGGGAGGGCAACATAAGGGTCAGACTGAGTCTAAACCGAAGGCCAGGTGGAACAGCTCTGTCTTGCAGGCCCTGCGCAAAGATGTCAAGTCCCGCAGGGCCCTGGTCTCTTGGGACAGAGCGTTCCACCACGTCGGGGCCAGTACTGAAAAGGCCCTGGCCCTAGTTGAGACCAATCTAACCATCTTGCGAGCTGGGACCTCCAAAGTGTTGTCATTTGTGTACCTTAAGGTCCTCCGCGGGGCATACCAGGAGAGGCGGTCCCGTAGGTACGAGGGTCCTAGGCCGCAAAGGGCTTTAAAGGTCAAAACCAGCACCTTAAACCTGACCCTGTACTCCACCGGGAGCCACTGCAGTTGGTAAAGTACTGGATGAATGTGATCCCGTGGCGAGGACCCCGTAAGGAGCATTCTGTACCCACTGGAGATTCTGGGTTTCTTTATCCTCTGTGGATGTGTCTGAGCCTACGAAGACTCAAGCTGGTGGTTCCTCAGCATGCAACTCACCCGCTGGAGCGATTCCGGCAAGGCCACATTCTATCGCTTGGAAGGGGAGGCTGAGGAAGTCACTCCTGGGAGAAGAGAAGATGGGGAATAGGTCTTCACCACCATGGCCTTAAACAGGGGCTTATGCTTACTTCCAGGGAACAACAACCCTCCCAGATGCCTTGGTGCACGGTTTTAAAAGAGCCAACAGCAGCGGGGAAAGGACTTAAACCTTCAGAAGGGGACCAATTCCTCTTGCTTTGGGGGTGCCGAGCGGGGGGGGGGGGCTAAACGCACAGCCTGCCAAAGGACTGGCCGCCGCCACCACAAAGGCAGCGGTCGAAACTCCCATTGCTCCAGGCGCATTTGGCAACAGGGAATTCCACTTAAAAAAAAATAAAAAATTATTATAAATTTTATTAGTATTTTCCAAACAACAACCACAACAGGAAAAATATCGAAAAATAACAGTACACAAAACACAAAAAACAACATTCAAAAAAACACAAATCCATCTTACAAGTTCGTAATATAAACACTAAAAGGAAAAACAAACATTGACTTCCAACAATCCCACAGCACCTCCTTTATCTCTCCTTGTGTCTTCCTGTTTCCCTTATCATCTCTATCCTAGCATCTAGATACAAATCCCTCTTTCTTATCCTTTCACTTCACAAGGTTATTCCAGACTCAGCCAGATTTCTGTCCTCAAACCTCAGCTTTTAAGGTATTCATTTGGACACTCCCGTTCCTTTTTCACTTCACTTTTTGGTTTTTGTCTTATTATATCTGTCAATTTGGCTAATTCTAAATATTCTGAAAGCTTACATAACCACTCTCCCCTAGTGGGTAACTGATTCCCTTTCCAATACTTAGCCACCAGGGAATTCCATTAGCGCGAGCAGTTTCTAAGCTCCGGGTGAAGCACTGTGGCTAAGATTTCAGATTAAAATTGCCACTGCTGGCACTAGGGGAGGAGAAATTCCTCCCCGCTCGGCTCCCAAGAGATGCCAATCTGGCTTTCGACACAGACAGACCAGTCGCCTCGCAGCAGCCGCTCCATCAGGCTACCTGGAATCGTTTCCCCTTAAGACCCGGGGTCTGAGCTTGCCTTCTTCCTCTTCCCTCCCCTTCCATTTCTCCTCCTTTTCAGACTACAGATGTCTGGCCGCAGATGTTTAAAGCGCTCTCCAGACCCGTCCCGGTTCCTCCCAGGAACTGCGGTTTGCAAAGGGTGCCCAGTGTCGTCAGGGGGACCCCACACAGAACCACACCTTTAACAAGCTACAGTCCCCAGGTTCCTTAGGGGGAAAGGCACAATTCTTAAAAGTGGTGCAAGGGTTGAGACACGTAGAGAAACCATTGACCCCCTGCTGGTGAGGCTTGCTGACCTCCCGGTAAAGCAAAAATTTGATCTTCTCCTGTTAGGCAAAGGCCACAAGACGACCCGAATTGTCGCCAGATTCTGCACACAGATTTGTAGGTGCAGACCACCCCCCAGTTCAATCTAGTTTGTTAAGAAAATTCCCAAACCCGGATCCACGGGCGACTTTGGGTCATTTCTCTAAGGTAGTCTATTTTAAAGTTTTTATGCCTATCGCTGGGACACGGGTGGCACTGTGGGTTAAACCAAAGAGCCTAGGACTTGACGATCAGAAGGTCAGCAGTTTGAATCCCCGCGACGGGGTGAGCTCCCGTTGCTCGGTCCCTGCTCCTGCCAACCTAGCAGTTCGAAAGCACGTCAAAGTGCAGGTAGATAAATAGGTACCGCTCCGGCGGGAAGGTAAACGGCGTTTCCGTGCACTGCTCTGGTTCGCCAGAAGTGGCTTAGTCCTGCTGGCCACATGACCCGGAAGCTGTACGCCGGCTCCCTCATCCAGTAAAGTGAGATGAACGCTGCAACCCCAGAGTCGGCCACGACTGGACCTAATGGTCAGGGGTCTTTTTTGATATGCCTATCCCACTTTTAAACTTAAAATCCATTGTTGTAGATTGTTTTAAATGTTTGTTTTGCTATTGGGATTGTTCCATTTGTGTTTCTCAAGCTAGTCTCTGACCGTAATAAATTTCATGTTCAAAATGGTGCAAGGGTGTGCTAAATGAGCGGGGCGGATGTCTCTTGCGGTCGGGTTTTCACAACCTGCTCTGGGGAGCCTAAACAGGAGGATAACAATGCCTTACACCACGGCTTCCTCAGCCTCGGCCCTCCAGATCTTTTGAGACTACAATTCCCATCATCCCTGAGCACTGGTCCTGCTAGCTAGGGATCATCGGAGTTGTAAGCCAAAAACATCTGGAGGGCTGAGGTTGAGGAAGCCTGAAATGAATGAATGAAGCCACAGAAATGAATGCACTTCTTAATATCCAACAGGTTAGTTGATTACCGTATTTTTCGCTCTAACACGCACCAGACCATAACACGCACGTAGTTTTTAGAGGAGGAAAACAAGAAAAAAATATTCTAAACGAAACAATGGATGTATGATTTTTGTGGTTCATGCTGTGGCCACAGACATGTGATCTGACGGTGAGTTTGGGGTAGCCCAATGCAAAAATCCTGAGGATCCATGTGGATCCATGCTAAAGTCGCCCTAAAGTCGCAGGGGCGCTGGGGGAGTGAACGGGAAGCAAGAGAAGGAGAACGATGCCTCACACACACAGAGACACACAGAGTATCAATCCTAAAGTTGCAGGGGCGCTGGGGCGCTGGGGGAGTGAACGGGAAGCAAGAGAAGGAGAACGATGCCTCACACACACAGAGACACACAGAGTATCAATCCTAAAGTTGCAGGGGCGCTGGGGCGCTGGGGGAGTGAACGGGAAGCAGGAGGAGGAGAACGATAGCTCAAGCACACACACACACACAGCCCCTACAGTGGTTAATCCAATATCGGACAGCAAAAAACTGCAGGCAGGGACAGAGAGCACGGGGTTGTTTTAAAGCAGGCAACCCCGCTCTGCTTCTCTCCCTCCTCCCCGGCTCCGCTGGCTGACAGGAGCCGCTTACACCCGCTTTGCTGTTTCAAAGCGAGCCACGGACTGCTCACAACTGCAGCAGATTCCCCCGCCATCCGTAGGCATTCGCTCCATAACACGCAGAGACATTTCCCCTTACTTTCTAGGAGGAAAAAACTGCTTTTAAAAGGAGCATCCGAACACCCAGGAATCGGGACGCAGATTAGAGGTGTCATCCTCTTTCCTCCCTCACCGTAACGGCTGCAGCTTCTCCAAAGGAGCCTCTCCGTTGTCACCAAAGTCCACGTAGTAGAGGTCCATGTTTCCATTGCCCAAGGTGCCGAGGACTCTGGCCCTGTACCAGGCGCCGTCTTCGGGGTACGGGGCGGCCACGATGTCCCCCACGTTCACCTTCAGGGGTTCCGGCTGGGGAGCCTGAGTGAAGGAATGGGTTTCCCAAATCTAAAATCTGACTGTGCAGTCAGTCTGAAACAGGCCCCAAAATCCCATTCTCCCTTCTCCAAGGGTGCATGAGCTAAACACCATTAACTTGAGCTCTTGAGCAAATGTGTAACAGGAACCCAGCTGTATAAACAGAGCTCTCTCCTCTATCAGTCCGTGACGCCTGATGAATGGCCTTGTCAGTTCCAAAGTGGAGCTGGGATGACACATCTGGGTCTTCTCTTACATCCTGACCACACTGACGCACAGACCTTGTCAGCCACCCGGGAACGGCTCCAGGAGTGCTCTTAGAGTTGGTGCCCTTCTTACCCCAAGATAAGGAATACAGGAACAGGAACACCCTTTTATGGTTAGGAGTACAGGAACAGGAACATCTGTGAAGTCAACTTACGTGTATAAGCTTACGTGGCTGGATTCCTGGGGAAGGGGGGAGAGGGTGCCTGGAGGAGATATATACTGAGTGGAATCTCTCATTTCTTTGGACTTGCTGTGAACTGACCGCGCAAGTGCCTTCTGCTATCCGGAGAGCAGAATAAACTCTTTCTCTGAATCAACCTCAGTGTCATTTGACTTCCTTTCTCCCTCCCAGGAGCAACGCAGACCCCACCAGTCGGTAAAGTCTAAGAAGGCTACATGAGGGACAGAGGCACTAGGAGGGGACCCTCGCACACCCACACACTAGCATTGCAAAAGGACCCGGAGTTCAGACCGGGTGGGCGAGGGAACGAAGGGGGTGCCCTCCTCTCCCCCACGCCAGGGGCCTCCCCCGCCGCACAAATCCTCACCGAAAGGCCGCTGTCGTAGTACTGAGTCATTTCGCGGGTGAGCTTGTCCAGCTGGAAGGTGCGCGAGCCGATAATCTGGATCCAGAAGTGGTTCGGGCTCTCGGAGGCCGAGACGTAGACCTCCAGGTGCTCATTGGCGTGGAAGCTGAAATCCGGGCTGGGGACTGAAGACACGGGAGGCAGAAAGTAAGGAGAAGACCGGCCCTCTTTCTAAACCAGCCTTTCCTGTGGGTCCCCAGATGTTGTTGGACTACAACTCCCATCACCCCTAGCTAGCAAGGCCAGAGCTCAGGGATGATGGGAGTTGTAGTCCGACAACATCTGGGGACCCACAGGTTGAGAACCGCTGCGAGTCTAAGCGGATGGCTGGAGCGGTCAGGGTCTAACTCATAGCTTCCCTCCCCCCATCTCTTCCTCCCTAGACAACACCCCAAAGATGGCACCTCCGCAGGAGCCCCAGCATCAGGTAAGATTGCAGCTGTGGGAAATCTATTTCAACCTATCCTACCAAAAAAAGGGCACTAGTCCTCATGATTACCTTCTGGAAGAGGGTTAGTACACGGCAGAGTCTCAACTATTTATTGTCAAAGGTAACAGTCGCTTCTACAGCTGTATACATCTATGCGCACCAATCTAACAACTAGGCCAGGCATAGGCAAACTCGGCCCTCCAGATGTAGAGACTACAGTTCCCATCATCCCTGACCACTGGTCCTGTTAGCTAGGGATGATGGGAGTTGTAGTCCCAAAAACGTCTGAAGGGCCAACTTTGCCTATGCCTGGACTAGGCAGTTATAGAAATAGAATCATCATCATCATAATCATCATCCCTAGGTGGGAAGTCAATACATGAAACAATATAATTTTCTTTAAAAAAATTATTTGGTTTTTCAGATTAAAATTTTAGTCACATGTCCAGCATACAACATAAAAACAAGATTCAAAGGAATCTCTGGAATTCCCTCCTCCCCTTTGTGGGTCACATTGTTAATTTTCTCCTCCTGCATCTTTTATAATAGAGTTGTACCTTGGAAATTGTTCAAATGCCTTGCGTCTCAAACATTTTGGCTCCCAAACCCGGAAGTGAGTGTTCCGGGTTTTCCAACGTTCTTTTGGAAGCCGGACGTCCAACAGGGCTTCTGATTGGCCACAGGAGCTTCCTGCAGCCAATGAGAAGCCACGCCTTGGTTCCCAAACGTTTTGGAAGTCGAACGGACTTCCGGAACGGATTCCGTTCGGCTTCCAAGGCACGACTACAATCCAAATCTTTTGTCTCTCCATTGCATCCAAAATTCACCATTAAACTACAAGCGATATTCCAATCCAACGATTTCAACTGTTTACAATGGTCTTTGAGATAAGTTATAAATTCCCCCCATTCCTTATTAAAATTTAGGTCTTCCTGATTTCTGATTCTTTAATTTGAAGGAAACGCAATAAAAATTATATTGTGTGGGGGGAAGGTTTCTAGTCCTCACAACTGAATGAACTCAGCGCTCCTAGGTATGGGGCTGCCCACCATCTTAAGATGGCTTCTAAAGCGTCAAGGAAGAGATCAGAGAAGCTGACAGAGAAGCCGACCAACAGTTGAAAATTAAATGGAACCTCCAGCTCCAGAGGCAGCCTACCTCTGAATGGGCTTGCTGGACAACAGCAAAGGAGGGGAAGGGGAAATTATTATTTTAAAGAGAGATATAAAGGCTGCCTCGTTCCACTTACCTTCAAAAGCATAGCTCAGGCAAGAGGTTTCTGATAAGGACTCCTCGGAGGAGCCGCCTTCGCTCCTCAGCTCCTGTGGCTCCTCGGGGGGATATTCTGGGAACTTCCCAGCGGCTCCTTCCTGGCGTGGGGTCCCCAGCGGCTGATGGAAAGCTTCTCCGGTGCAAGGAAGATCTCCCCTTCGATCGCCGCTGCCGCCAGCGTCCTCCTTCCTCGTGCCCAAAGGCTGCTTCCGCTGGGACCGGGCCAAAGCCGCGTGCGAGAGTTTCTTGTGGAAGGCCTCATCCTCCAAAACCTTCTCCGCGATCAGTTTCTATGGGAGATTTGGAAGAGTAGCAAATGATGCTGATGGGCCGGGTGCGAGTTCCCTTTGTCTAGGGCAGGCTGCAGTCGGAACTGGCTCCCAACGTATTTCAGGGGTCCCGATTCAGCTTGCAGCCTGGCTGGCCAAGGAATTGCACCCCTGAAGAGGCCTAGGACTTGCCGATCAGAAGGTCCAGCTCCGAGGGCCTTCTGGCAGTTCCCTCCCTGTGAGAAGCAAAGTTACAGAGAACCAGGCAGAGGGCCTTCTCGGTGGTGGCACCCGCCCTGTGGAACGCCCTCCCACCAAATGTCAAAGACAAAAACAACTACCAGACTTTTAGAAGACATCTGAAGGCAGCCCTGTTTAGGGAAGTTTTTAATGACTGAGGTTTTAATGTATTTTTAATCTTTTGTTGGAAGCCGCCCAGAGTGGCTGGGGAAACCCAGCCAGATGGGTGGGGTATAAATAATAAATTATTTATTATTATTATTAGTGTGTGTGTGTGTGTGTGTGTGTGTGTGTGTGAGAGAGAGAGAGAGAGAGAGAGAGAGAGAGAGAGGAATGAATGAAACTTCCTCACCTCTGCCATACAAGGAACCAAAAATCTTTAAAAAAGGAACAAGGAGCCCAGTATAGTAGCAGCCATCCTCAACCATAAAACCCAGCCTCGGAAATAACTTGCATTTAATTACAATTACAACTGAAAAACTAATAAAATTGAAAACTAATAAAAATAATTATAAAAAAGGAAATGAGTTTCACACAGAAGCTTCTCGCCCCCCCACCCAATAAAAACGAAAAATCCAACAGCGCCACTTTCTGAAACAGAACTGGCATAGACACCACATATTTACCTCTAGAATCCCAAAACTGTAGTTTAACCCTCACAGAACTACAACTCCCAGCACCCTTAAACTGCACTTCCCAGGATTCTTTGGAAGGGGGGTTGGGCCCCCTGCTCAGAAAGGAGGTTATGCCTGCGGTTTCATAGGGTGTAAGGCAGGCCTCCTCGGGGCCAGGATCCCAGCACATGGCAAGATTGAATTGGGGCCGCCCACCACAACCTCATTGAATGACGCCAGCAGCTGGGGAGCAGGGCAGGGGGCTCACCTTAGCTGCCAGCACCTCCTTGCGAGTCCCAGAGAGCGTGATCTGGCGGGTGAGCGAAAAACTCCCTTCGCGGTCGCAATCGATCTTGGCCCCTGTGCTCTGGTGGATGGCTCGCACTGTCTCCCCGCCCCTGCCTGGGGGACGAGAAAAGGTTAGCAGAAACTGCAAGGATCGTGTCCTGTCCCCTCCACCGTCCCTTGAGGGGACCTCCATTGCAGCACTGGGAGAGACTGGAAGAGGAAGGCTCCCTCCATCAGCTTCGCCGGAGGCCCATTTGGTTATTGGAGCAGCTGTTTAGAAATCGGTGCCTGAGCGTTGGCTTTTGTTTTCCTCTACCCTCCCAGTTCCTCTTTCCTTGCGTGCTGTCCTTTAAAAAAATAATAAAAAAAAATCACAAGCTCAGAGGTAGGGATTGTCTTCTTTTGACCATATGTAAACCACTCCTGGAGCCTTTATGCCTGAAGCGGAGGGCACCAAATGCTCCAAATAACAACAAACTATATAGGCCGAAAGAAGCTAATCTACGGGCTGCAAAATATTTGCCCTGTTAACTATATAAGTGAGAACTGTAGAAATTTGAAGATGTTAGCAGGGAAATAAACCTTATGACATGGTTTAGATATTACTAAGGAACTGCAGATCAGAGATTGGAATAAGAAAACCTACGGAAGGGAGGGAGGGAAGTCAATGCTCTGTAGAGCGAAAAGAAAGATAGATATAAAAGGATATGAAATATCAGTGTATTTTGTTTGTGTATATGAAATGAAAACTTAATTAAAAGCATATTAAAAAAAAAGCAAAGCGCAAGAAAGTTTTGAGGGATTTAGAGGACGCAGAACAGGGATTACCAATGATGCGCCCCACGGCACGCTGGGGCACAAGGATCTTTTCCGTCACAGCCATGTTCTCCTCCAGGATCTGGTGGATGGCGGCTTTGGCCTTGCACACCTGGACAGCGGAGCCACAGATGCGGATCAGGCGCTCCTCGCCAGAATCCTCCACGTCGACGTCAATGCGGGCCTGGGTCTCCTTCCGCAGCTGCGGAGAGAGGGGACGGGGCACTTCAGCCTCAGCAATCTCCAAAACAGTGATGGCCGGGCTGGGTTGCAGTGTGTCCGGTTCCCAGCAGCCTCTATGGTGGGGGCCTCATCCAATTTTATAGACGGCGGCAGAGGCCCCAATCACACCAGCGTGAGGATTAAACGGTCGCCACTTCCCTCAAAGGATTCTGGGAGCTGTTGGTTGTTCAGAGTGGTATGAGTTGTTAGGGGACACCCCTCCATTTCCCTCCCAGAGCTAGATTCCCAGAAGACGGAGGGGTTTTTAAAGCCCTCTGGGAACTGCAGCTCTGTGAAGGTGTAATAGGGCGCCTCCTGACTTCCCTCAGCACCCTGAAACTACAGCTCCCAGAATTCTTTTAATTCTAGCCTTAATAAATAATTCTAGCCTGGTCCCAATATCCTCTTCCCTGCTGATTTCTGCAAGGAGATGCAGAAACAAAGGCTGCATTCACACTAAACATTTAAAGCACCACAATACCAATTTAAGGAGTCGTGCCTTACCTCAGAAGAATCCTGGGGGCTGCAGTTAAGCAAGCTGTTAGGAAACCCCCGCTGCTCCCCTCATATAGCTACCCTTTCCTGCCACTACAGATCCCCCCTTTGTGGGGAACTCTGGGGAACAGTAACCCGGCGAGGGCCTTAACCAGGGGTCAGCAAGGCTTACTGGGCATGGGCTGGATCACTACCACGGAGATCTTCTGTGGTCCGGACCAGCGCAGCGCCGGAAATCGCATCTGCGCATGCCCAGATGCTGAAAATCGCGCTTACGCAGAAGCGATTTTCGGCACCGCACACATGTGCAGACATGATTTCCGGTGTCTGGGCATGTGCAGAAGTGATTTCTGGGGCCGCGGAAGAGAGTCCCTGCCCAGCCGGTTTAGCACAGTACGCAGGGACTCGCCAAGCGGGCAGCTCGGTTCGGGGGTGGCTCGTGGGCCAGTTAAACGGCCTCCATGGGCCACTTCCTGCCCATGGGCAGCGGGTTGGGGACTCCTGGCCTTAACCCAGAGGTGTTGGGGTCAATCCCTAGGCGCCGTTTTCTCCCTCCCTGTTGGGCTGAGGGCAGCGCCGAATTCACACGGCTCCAGGAGTCAGCAAACCTACCTGCTTGACGTTGGCTCCGTGGCGCCCGATGAGCAGCTTCACGGCATCCTTCGGGACCTTCATCTCCACCTGGAGCTCCTCCTCGCCCACAAACGTCACCCGCTCCTCTGGAAGCCCCAGCCAGGGAGAAAGACAACAGACACACAGGGCGATGAGGACCCAAAACATCCCCCCATTTTTGAGGCAGCTGTTTTTCCTCGGCAGCCGTGAGGCCATCGCCCCAGGGAAGAGATGGTGGCCGGCCTCCCTGCCCACTCAAGAGCTCAGGGACCTGCCCATCTACTAGCCACAAAGGCTCTGCGCCACCTCCGCTGCGGGAGGCATGGTGCCACTGAATGCCCGTTGCCGGGAACAGCAAGTGGGGAGATATGCTGCTGTACTGGGGGTCCCGCTTGGGGTTTCCCTTGGGGGCATCTGGCCGGCCGGTGTGAGAACAGGATGCGTGGTCAGAAGGGCTCCCTTTGGCCTGATCTTCTCAAGATACAGTGGTGCCCCGCAAAACGAATGCCTCGCAAGACAGAAAACCTGCTAGACGAAAGGGTTTTCCGTTTTGGAGGTGCTTCGCAAAACGAATTTCCTATGGGCTTGCTTTGCAAGACGAAAATGTCTTGCGAGTTCCTGCGGTTTTTTTTCCGCCCCCCCCCTTTTTCCCAAGCCGCTAAGCCGCTTATCAGCTGATCCGCTAAGCCGCTAAACAGCTGATCGCTAAGCCGCTTATCAGCTGATCCGCTAAGCCGCTTAACAGCTGATCCGTTAAGCCACTAAGCCGCTTATCAGCTGATCCACTAAGCCGCTTATCAGCTGATCCGCTAAGCCCGCTAAGAGCGCTAATCCACTAAACCGCTAATGGGCTTGCTTCGCAAGACGAAAAAACCGCAAGACGAAGAGACTCGCGGAACCGATTCTTTTCATCTTGCGAGGCACCACTGTATTATAGAACTAGAGGAATTCCCTATCAATGGCTGCTGGCCATGGCTGTTATACTCTGTTCTCCATGGTTGGAAGCGGCAAGGCTCAATACCGATGGACATAAACCACGGCGGGGGGTTGCTCTTGCTTTTGAGGGCCTGTTTATAGGTTGGCCCTTGTGATGTGGGCTAGATGGGCCTGATCCACCTGTATTTTAAATTTGCTTTCCCCCCCTATTATGTTTTGATTGTAATTTTACTGGTGTTAGCCGCCCTGAGCCCGGCTCTGGCCGGGGAGGGCGGGGTATAAATAAAAAAATATTATTATTAAAGGCTCCCGTAATATTCTTGACCAACACTGCTACCCCCATGGAGCAGGCTAGAAAATAAGGATGGGGAACGGTGAACCCGGCCAATTTTTATTAGTACAGTACTGTTAATAATTCACATGGCGGCTGCGCTTTCCCTCTGTTGCAAGCCATCACAGCATCTCCTTGACACAGCATAGTGCTTTTCGAGAGGAGAAAACAAACGCTTACGCATTGCAATGACTCTTTGGGTTCCTTCCAGCTCTCCAATTCTGTATGAACCTGTCTATAGAGACCCAGCACTTTCCTTGCTGGGATGAGGGAAGAGGAGACCAGTAAGTTGGAAGAGCAGAGAGCAAGCACCCAAGCAGCCCACGCTCTCTCCGGGATTTCAAAAGGGGTCCTTGAATTCCTGGTTCTGACCCAACACGTGCCATGTGGCGAGTCAGGAGGCTCCACCGAACACACCTGGACTCAACTTCCAAGCAAGAATAGGCTAAAAGCACTTAAAAGCTTACATAAATATTTCTGTATGCAACTACGGCGGCAAGGTTGTTGATTGCCAAAAATTGGAAAAGCAGCAGCGTCCCAACTAAAACAGACTGGTTATCTGAAATGATGGAATACTTCCATATTGCCGAACTAACAGGGAAGATAAGAGGAGATATGGTACAAAAAGTGAATAAGGAGTGGGTTATCTTTAAGGAATACATCAAAATTTATGTGGAAAAAGCAGAATTTCTGACAGATACTGAGTGAATCCAGAAAATGATTAGAGTGAAAGGAGAGTAAAGTTAAGATAAAAGAAGAGATTAAAGAAATAATGAAATGCGTTTAAGCTAGTTGGAAAAATAAAGTAGCATAAAAAGAACGGCTGGAAGTCAAGTCACTTGGTGGGTGTCTGTGTGATGGTAGGCGTGTAGGTATGTTGATATGTATAGTATAGGTAGGTATTATCTAGAGTAATTTAGGTATGTTTTATGTTATGAAAGTAGTGTGTCGTGTACGTGTATTGTGTAAATGTATATGTATGCGTTTTAGATGTCAACAACAACAAAAAAATGAAAGCACTTAAAAGCTGCATTTGCCACCCATCTGGTTTCACCAACGACCTGGCCCTCCACCCGAGCCCAAGGGCGGAAAGATGTCAATATGGGATGCGCGTACGAAATGGCAGCAAGTGTCAAGCGAACGCAGAAGCGGCTCTGGAAGCTTTCCCAGAACGGGCAGCGCACACAGACAGGAGAGGAATACAGCAGGCAGGCGCGATCGATTGTTCACAGCCCAGTGCCACCCACGCAGCAGATGCCGGCCGCACAGCCGCGCTTCCCTCCGGCCCAGGGTGCACACCCACCTTGGCTCTCCCGGTAGCGGCGGTACAGGATGTACAGAATCGCCCCGCTGGCGGGGACCCCGAGCGCCAGGGCCACCTTCTGCAGCGTGGTCAGACTGCTCCAGGAGCCCTTCTCGGATGCCATGGCCCCTGCCGGAGGTGCCCTAAACGGGAAGGGGAAAAATTTCCTCAGCTGCATCTCCCCTTGGGAGAGGCCGACCAAGTACATCGCCCCGTAGGGAAGCAGCAGCAAAGCAGCAGACGGGATCCGCCAGACAGGGACCGCAGCTCCACGGTGGAAGCAACCCGGTCGGACGCCTGAAAGATGACTTTGCTTCTCAAGGGTTTGGACGGCTGCCTGGAGCCGCCTGCAGCCAACCTTGCTGTCCCGGGCGGAGGTTTCCCCTCCCCACCTCGGAGAAGGGAAGAAACGGAGAAGGTGCCAGGTATTGTGTTTCAAAGAGGATGGCCGAGCCAAGCCAGGGGGTGTGTGAATCAATGTGGTTTCAGAAAGGCACTTTCAGGGCTGACTTCCACCACCCACTCCTGGCAGAACAGGCCAAGAGTCCATTTAACCAGGCCTGGGGAACCCAATGCTGCCCTCTGGACCCCTGCATCCGGCCCTCATAAATTCCCCCAAGCCATACCCTTCTATGGCCCTGTTTTGCACCCAGGGTTTTCTGCTTTTTGCCTGGCTGTAAAGTTTGAAGGGACGCGGGTGGCACTGTGGGTTAAACCACAGAGCCTAGGGCTTGCCGATCAGAAGGTCGGCGGTTCGAATCCCTGTGACGGGGTGAGCTCCTGCTGCTCGGTCCCTGCTCCTGCCAACCTAGCAGTTCGAAAGCATGTCAAAGTGCAGGTAGATAAATAGGTACCACTCCGGCAGGAAGGTATACGGCGTTTCCGTGCGCTGCTCTGGTTCGCCAGAAGCGGCTTAGTCCTGCTGGCCACATGACCCGGAAGCTGAACGCCGTCTCCCTCGGCCAGTAAAGCGAGATGAGCGCCACAACCCCAGAGTCGGCCACGACTGGACCTAATGGTCAGGGGTCCCTTTACCTTTACTTTAAAGTTCCCTTGAACTCTTGAGCATGCCTCTGGATGAAGGATTGCGGCATCTTGAGTGGGTGCAGAAACCAGTTACATCAGTTCCCGTACCCAGTTCTTGCCCACCACTGGCAAGCGGCCCTTCGAAGGTTTCCGAAGGGTGAATGTGGCCCTCAGGGTGAAACACGGGTTTTCCCCGCCCACAGCAGCATGTTCCCATGAAGCTTCACACACACACACACACACACACACACGGGTTGAGGATTGCCTTCCTTTCTCCTTCCTATGTCCCCAGCATCTAACACTCAGGTATACTGCCTCAGTATCTGGAGGTTCCACTCCTAACTAGCATAAAGACCAAAAGAGCCTTGCAGGGTTGGAATGAAGGACTGAATTCTGTCTCCCACAATGGCCAGACCACATAACCCTGGGAACTGCAAAAGCAATGCGTGAAGCACAGCCCTGTTTTTGCCCCTCATTCCAGCAAGTGGAATTCACATAGCGAGCACTCTGAATGTGGACATTTTGCCTAGCCTTCATGACCAATGTCTTGATTATTTCCCCTCCACAGTGAATTGGCTTGATGGCCTTTTAAAGCCATCCAAGTCTGTGGCACTCGCGACATCTGGTGGCAGTGAGTTCCACAGCTCAGGACACACCCTACACAGCAGCCCGTTTTCTTCTATATGCTCCAAAGCTTCTGCCCACCAGTGTCCCTGAGTCACTACCAACACCCTGAAATGTTTTAGCAAGGCAAGGGAGGGTTTTGTTTTTTTTTACATGCAAGCCCCTGCATCACAAAAGGGGGTGGGCCTTTGGGAACTCCATATACTGGTGACACAGCTCCCATCAGTTGCAGATGAGAGGTGCAACCCCGCAACATCTGGTTGCAGCTGCTGCCTCACCATTGCTCTGAACCTCTGTGCAAACAGCGGTGATTAACCCAAATGCCTGCTGTTGCTTTTTTATTTAAAGGACCCCAGAGCTGAGGGATTGAAAACAACGCAAAAGCCATGGTCCAACATTTGGAACGTTTGCTGAAATCACAAGATACATGACATACATCTCTATCCTTCTGGAATTTGCTCTTTGCTCAGCAACACACAACTTTTTCCCCAACCCCACACAGAGCCCTTCTCAGCCACAGCCTGTGAGGGCTTTGGTAAACCCCCTCAATGTAGCTATTTGGGGGGCTTCTTGGAAAGGGGTATTCTGTTGGAGGAGAAAATTAGGTGCAAGTAATTATTAAAATGTAGGGCTTTTAAGAAAAATGATGCGATCTTTTTCATAGGTTAGAAAATATTTGCGTCCCACTTTATTCAAAATGTCTGATACGTTGCTTGTATCCCGAAACACTTAAAAAAATTATAGCACCTATTAATTACACTCAGCCTAGAGAGTCATCTCCCAGCAATGGACAGCGGGCCTTTCTGTAAAGCCTATGGAACAGGCTCCCTTCTGCGAATCAATAGGTATCTGCTGTAAAACATATTAACTTGGCAATAAAATTAATTAAAATTATAGACAACATGCACACAGAATCTTAGCCACCCCACACGTGGGGATATTGACTCTATACAAAGCACCTGAGTTTCAGCAAGGACTGCTGGGAACCTTAGTTTGTTAAGAGCGGTTTACTATGTCAAAAGAAAACTACAGTTCCCAGGATTCTTTGGAAGAAGTCATGTGCTTTAAATATATGGTGTGTTCCTCTGCTATTCTTAGTGTGATAGGCGATGAAGGAAATACTCAAGAGTAGACACACTGAAAGTACATGTAAACAAGGCCTTGGTTCCCTCTCTCCATTTAAAATTTATCAACCTGCAAGTAACACTCACACAGAATCCTGGCCTACCTGTTTTTATCTGAGAAAATCCTATGAACCCGACAAGAAAACGAGCGAAAAAGTAAATAAAAGCCCACAAAGATAACCCTGTCCTCCTTATTTCTCTCAGTTAAGACATATAAACCTGACAATAAAATGAAATGAATACTCCCATACAGAATCCTGCTCTCCGGTTTTAATCCGAGATAATAATCTAAACCTGGTAATAAAACGGAAAAACGTAAATGAAATTCGAGCAGAATCCTGGTTCGCTCCCATTTCTCCCAGCTGACCTATTAGCAAGTAAATAAAGAATAAGATATAGATGGAAAACCTTGCCCTTTCAAATTTCTCCCAGCAAAACCCATTAGCTTGCTATATATAAAAAATCACATCTGCAGAGAATCCTAATCTCTCATTTGGGTTTTTTTAAGATAATAAAATATATAAAGCCCACGCAGAATCCTGTGCTCTGAGAAGATCATAGAAGCCTGGTAGGAAAAATGAATGAAAATGTAAATTAAAAGCTGTGCATGTAAATAATGCAATGCAAGGCTTGCCCTCCCCGTTGCCTTTAGTTAAAATACATTAAACCTGGCAGTGAAATGAGCAAAACCAGAGGCCCTGGCCTCCCCCTGCCTCCCCACGACGACACCCCCCAGAGACCTTCCAGAGCGCCTCCCCGCAGCCCTCCGCTCTCCTCCGCGCCGGAATACAAATGAGAATGACGACGCCCAGCGCAGGCTGCTCCTCCCTCCCGCTTACGTAGCAGCTGCTTAGCCGCGCCCCTTGCCCTTCATTGGCCGAGGGGAGCGGCCACAAGCAGTAGGGCGGAGAAACAGTTGTCATTGGGCGAGATGCTGGGAGGGAGAGGCGGGACGGACGAACCATTCTAATTCGACGCTTCCCTCAGAGAGGGAGGGGGATAAAGAGAGGAGTCCGTTCTAATTGGGCGATTGCGGAGGAGAGGAGATTTTCATTGGGCACCAGGGGCCGGAGGGCGCTGCGAGGAGAAGCCCCGCCCACAATCTTCCCAACGAGTCCTCGACCAATAGGCAGAGCGGTGCTGAGTTTCTGAGGCAACAGGAGGAGGGGTCGTAGTTACTATGGGGGCGGAGGGAGAAAGGTGGCAGCAGCCAATTAGGAAGAAGCAAAGCGCCCGAGGGGTAGAGGTGTGAGCGAGGGTGGGGATAGGCGCCTGAGGAGGGAGAATATAAAAGCCGACCAATAGGCAAAGGAGAAGTCCAGACGGCAGCCAATCCCGAGAGTGGGAGGGGGAGAGGGGCGGGAAGAGAGCCTTAACCGTCGTCCTCTCGCGCAGGTGTAACTGTTGAGGCGTCACAGGTGGCTCAGAAGTGGTCCCATGATGCGCTGCGCCCATAGGAGGCTGCCGTTGCTGGCTTCCCATAATGCACTGCGGGGAAAAATTGGGCCTACGGGTTGCCATGGTTACACACATAGCATGTGAAATTAATAAATTAAAAAATTGGCCAGTAGCACCTTAGAGACCAACTAAGGTGCTATTGGACAATATTTTATTTTTTTTATTTCGCCTACCTCAGACCAACATGGCTACCTACCTGAATCTACAAAGCAAATGGTTTTGGAATTAGGGTGTGTGAGACGGATATGAGCTCATCGGTATTATTAGGATTGTGCCCAACACGTAAAATTCCCCTTGCAATTAAAGGTCCCATTCATTTCAATAGGTCTTTTCTGAGTAGTGTGGCTGGATGCCCAGCGCAGAATAAAAATAAAGAGTTAAAACCACAGCAAGTGTTAAATCATTTTATTTACTCATCAAATCTATAGCCCCCCTTTTTCCCCTCCCAAGGTGGCGTTTGTGGTTCTCTCCCCTGTGCAACGACCCTGTGAGGTTGGCACCCCATGTCACACCCAGTGAACATCATTCGCTGAAGCATGCTTCGAACCTCGGGTCTTTCCTGACGCTCTAACCACTGCACCCACCCTGGGAACATAGGAACATTTGTTGGTTTTGTTCAAAAAAACTGTTTTCAAACTTTGCACTTTATTGACAATATTAAACGCTTTATTTTTTTCTGCAAACCGCTTAAGAGGTTCTATTTACAATCAAGCGGCGGATACATTTTGCTAAATAAAATAAATAGCATCCCTGGCGTCTGTCCTAACACCATCGTCCACGCCCTTTTCCCACAGTGAACCGACCAGATCCCTCTGGGGAGCCCAAAAACAGGACTCTCCTTGCCCATCTCCCCAGCAGCTGACATTCAGAGACATGGCGCCTCTCAACCTAAAATATGAACCCCACCACAGGAATTGTCCAGAAATTGCTGAATCTCTTTTTAAAAGCCAATTTTCCCAGTAACTTGTGGGCAGAGCAGAGGCGTAGCGTAGAGGGTCTGTGGGGTCTGTCGCCCCAGTTGCAATTTTGTGAAGGGGGCGCACCCCATGCACCTGCCCCGGGCATCGTGGGCATACGATCCACCGCTGTGGCAGAGGCGCAGTTATCTTAGAAGTTTCCTGGTTCCTCTCTTTCAATTCCCAAGTTTTTTTGGGAAACAGCATGCCATGATCAACACCACCCAAATGTAGGCTTCGTCCCTCTTGTGTTGGGTTCAGTTCATTATGCATTATGAAACCCCAAACCCCTTCTCCACTTTCAGCTGGTCATCAACCTACGGTTGCGTTCCTTCATAACTGGATTCTTCCTTTTGCTCCTTTGCAGAACCTTCCCACTGATTTTTATATATATATAAAATGCACTAACTGCATGCACTGTTAGGATTGTAAACATTATATAGCCTGGGCGTTGCACACTGACAAACTGGAAAAAGAAGCTAGGAATCATTGGCGTGAGGGTACGACGGCAAAAAGCGTCCAATTTTGATCTTTTTGAGATAATCCGCTTCCGGGTGAATTCAAACACACAGGCAGTTGAGTTCTGGCAGATGTTGACAGCTGTTTTGGCATCCAGCTTATGAAGTAAGGCAGAAGTTTGGCCAACATTTGCTCCAAAATGGCAGCCTAGGCCCAGAAGCTGTTTTGCTACATAGAAGTCCCAATTCTTAAGAGTTGGGCATGGAACCCAAATCAATCCCATGCCTTCTAGCAGTAAAGATTTCGCAGACTGTGTAGCTCATGCAACAAGACAAAGCCTTGGGTTATTACGTATGTCCAGAATCTAGAACAGAAATGTAACAATAAAGTGTGGAGTGCATTTCTTTTCATTACTGGAAAATGGTTTGCTTAAAAAAAGGAAATAAACTCTGGGTAAACTCTACCCAAGTTGGGAAGGGCCACTGGGAAAACAAAATGGTTTGCAGGGTTGGATTGAGCCAGAGTTTAGTCCAAGATGGCTCAAGAAACATTCTTTCATTGGTAATCGTACTGGAATGGAAAAATCAAACAATCAATGACAAGTCTTGCCTTCCTTGATTCTCCTCTGACTCTCAGTATTTCCTAGTAAAAGGCTATTCTGGAATTGGGAGCCGTGGAATTAATTCTCTTTTTGTGTGTGTGGGATGAAATGGTGGACTTGGAGAAAGTTGATGGATGATGGATCCATTTTTGCTGAATTGGGTGCGATTTGCCCAATGCTCAGGACTGGGCAGGTGGGTCGGGATAATTTGGTGCCCCTTGTTTCGTTTTCAAAGACAGACAGACAGACAGACAGACAGACAGACAATTAGTTGGCAGTGTGTGAAGAGATCTGCAGCCTGGTCTATAGCAAGAGAATTGTTATGGTGAGGAACAATATGCCCATAGCCATGACAGCCACGGAGACCTCTGGGATCCGGCCGCTGTTGAGGGTGACTTTGAAGGCTGTGATTTCCTCTTGGTAACCTTCTTCCCTGGAGGTGCACTTAAAGACCCCTTGGTCCATTGGGGTGCTCTCCCCGAAACGGAGGGTGCAGGACTGTTCGTCCATGGAGCATGGGTACGTCTTGTCATCTTTGACCCAGGTGTAGATGGCGTGGTGAGACCGCAGAGGGCACGGCAGGTAGATGTAGCCAGTGGGATCTACACTCACTTTCTTGAGAGCCTCCTGGGCTAACTTTTCTTCAAGGGTCAACATTTAAAGAGAGAGAAAGAGAAAAAACAGAGGAGAAACCAATTTTAGGTTTGTTTGCAGGTTCAACTAAGACTCCTCCTCCAGAAGGCCCTCAGAAAGGCAGCCTTCAGTTGGATAAAGGTTCCCAATCCCTGTTCTAGAGAATTGGCACCCATGTAGAACTTCACTTACCATCAAGACATTTAACAGAAACCAAGCCTCGCATCACTTAAGGCCAATGGACTTGCATTGAAACAGCAGTTTATTCCATTTCCCCATTATATTTGAGCTTTCATGTGATGTAAAAGCCACTTAATGGAAACCTAATGGAATATAGCATGTGCTCAGCATTCATTTCCTTGTTTTCTAATTCCAGAAAAAGCTCATTTTGCAACCCACTGGACCCAGAAGATTGCAGGAGTAAAGTGACCAAATGTGGGGCAGTATGTTAGCACTCAGTTCTTTCCTGAGGTTTCCATGGAGAAACAGAAAGGATGCAAGTGTAATAGTGTTGTTCAGTGGCATTCATTGTATCATATCACGCCCACTGGTGTGAATGCAATTTAGCATAAAATGCTGGTATATTGATCAATAAGCCACGGTTCCATAACGCAACAGGTACTGTGTAGAATCACAGAGCTGCAAAGTTGAAAGAAACCTGAAGGGTAATTTAGTCGAACACCTTGCACTGAATGCTCTGCGCAAGGAACATTAGAAAATGGGACACAAACACTAGCATTATAATCAGGAAAACTAATGCAATATTCTCCCCCTCTGAATACAGCCTAGGTCTAGTCCTGCCCTTTGGAATCAGCAGCAGACAGAAGTCTTTGGTAGTTAATTGTTTCAGTACTTGGCCCAATCAAACTGTGCTGGAATTATCTGAGGGTTCAGGGAGATGAGGGTTGGAAGAAGCCTCAAGTAAAAAGAAACCCATGCTTTTCATTTCCCCATCATCTGTGACCCTTAAAGACAACCCAACCCAGCCGTTCGCATCCACAGGCCTAAAAGGTTTTTATGTGGCATCGTCTTACCTTCAGCGTTTTCACACATGGAAGCGGTACTCGATGAATCTAGGTTCTGAAGCAAGCTGTTGAAGGAAACATACGGGTGTAAGAAGAGCCCAGCCGGAACAAACCAATGGGTTGGACTGGGTCCCAAGGGACTCAGCTACGTTAGTCAAAAAACAACGTTTTGAATGCATCATAAACGTGCAAGACCAGGGACTCAGCTACATTGGCAAAGAAAAAACGTTTTACAGTGGTACCTCGCAAGACGAATGCCTCGCAAGACAAAAAACTTGCTAGACGAAAGGGTTTTTTGTTTTTTGAGCTGCTTCGCAAGACGATTTTCCCTATGGGCTTGCTTCGCAAGACGGAAACGTCTTGCAAGTTTGTTTCCTTTTTCTTAACACCGTTAATACAGTTGCGACTTGACTTCGAGGAGCAACTCATAGAACGCGGTGTGGTAGCCTTTTTTGAGGTTTTTAAAGACTTTGGTGATTTTTGAAGCTTTTCCAAAACTTTCCCGACACCGTGCTTCGCAAGACGAAAAAATCGCAAGACGACAAAACTCGCGGAACGAATTAATTTCGTCTTGCGAGGCACCACTGTATATGTTTTGTTTATGCATTCTAACACTGAGACGCCAGATGGCGCTGTGGAGTCCTGTTTTTGCCAACCTGATTTCTCATACAAAGTTTGCAATGCGTTTAACTGAAACAGTTCTTTGATGTGTTTAGATCTAGCCCTGATGGTGCTGGACAGCAAAAAATAAATAAATCTAACATAGCGTTCCCCCCCCCCTTTGTTACAATGGTCTAATTTTTGATGTATTTATAGTGGGTTTTTCCTGTGTGTAGATCCACCCCAACTCTACAATTCTATGATTTCTATTATCCTGTTCCCCACAGTGGCCAAAGAGATGTTTCAAAGAAGTATAAAAGCAGCACGTGAAGGCGACAGCTCCACCCTTGTGTTTTGGGGTTTCCTTAGTCCCAAGCACCAGCAGTTAGAATGGATAAATATGTCAATTTTGTTTTCATATCTCCCTTTTCCACGCCGTAGTTCAGCTCTCCACATTTCCATATCAGCTTGTGCTTTTCTTTAAAAAAGTCCTCATGAAAATTTAGCAGGGTTTCAGTGCAAATTCTTCCTAATGTACACGTTTTTGGGATGCAATTTTGCCAAACACCCTTGCAAACACCCTCCCCACCTCCCACTAGTCTGGAGGGGCCATCAGTTTCAATAGATCAACTTTGAGTATCACTTAATTGGATGCAGGTAAAGGTAACAGTAAAGGTAAAGGGACCCCTGACCATTAGGTCCAATCGTGGCCGACTCTGGGGTTGCCACGCTCATCTCGCTTTATTAGCCGAGGGAGCTGGCGTACAGCCAGTGGCGTAGCGTGGGGGGTGCAGGGAGGGTCGGCCGCACCGGGCGCAACACTTTTAGCAGTGCTAAAATCAGTGCTAAAATCCAGGGTTAGGGGGGCGCAAATTACTTGCCTTGCCCCGGGTGCTGACAACCCACACTACGCCACTGCATACAGCATAACTAAGCCGCTTCTGGCGAACCAGAGCAGTGCATGGAAACGCCGTTTACCTTCCTGCTGGAGCGGTACCTATCTATCTACTTGCACTTTGATATGCTTTTGAACTGCTAGGTTGGCAGGAGCAGGGACCGAGCAACAGGAGCTCACCCTGTGGCGGGGATTCGAACCGCTGACCTTCCGATCGGCAAGCCCTAGGCTCTGTGGTTTAACCCACAGCGCCACCCGCGTCCAATTGTATACAACATCACAGGAAAATGCAGCAATTTGACTGAACAACATGCGGACGATGGGGAGGAGGTGCTTTGGAAAGTCGATTTATCAGGATCAGCCACCCCAAATTTCCTTTCCCCTTTTGATTCTGGGCCAGACCTGCCAGTGGAGTTAGTGTCCTGGGAGACGGCGGAGCAGGTCTTCTGTTCCCCGTCCCAGCCACAATATGGGTCACGGGCCAGTATACACTTCCAGCAGTTTTCCTTGTACTGGTCGCAGTCGGCCAGCAGCAGGCGCACCACCTCGAACTCGGTGCTGGCGTACAGGTGGCCCTGCCGGAGAGAAGACGGATTAGAGCCAACGGCCGGAGAAAGAAAGGGGAAAGTGCTGCCTGAAGGGGACCCCACCCATTGCAAGGAAGAGAGGACCGTAAGATGCCCCCCTAGTTTGGGAAACTAAGATGGATCACTGAGAAAGGGATTTAAAAAATTTTCTTTTTTTTGGAAAAAGCAACTCTGCCTGTCTGTTCTTTGAGTTTTGGGGAGTAAGGAGGGGAGAAAATATTCTTGCACTTGCCCAACTGTGCCACTTATCTGCACTCTTACCGAATCGTCGTCCAAGATCATAGAAGAGACAGGGGCTTCCTTCTTGAAGGGACTCAGCTCAGCAACAATCACCGTCTGGTCTTTGCTTCTCAGCACCTTGTGGATCTTCCCTTTTGCTGCGGCACCGAGAGAAGGAGAGGCGGAAGTTGTGTTCATAGGAAGCTGCCTTAAATATCGAGTCAGATCATTGTTCCATCTACCTCAGTCCTGTCCACATTGACCAGCAATGTGGCCCTCTGCGGTTTCCTGGCAGGAATTTCTCCCTGCCTTACCTGGAAATGCCAGGGATTGAATTTGGGACCTTAACACACCACTGAGAGTTGTCGGTTTCCTCTTCCTCAGCATTAGACCACATTCACTCTGTGCATTTAAAGCACTGCAATACTGTACAGTGGTACCTCAGGTTAAGTACTTAATTCGTTCCGGAGGTCTGTTCTTAACCTGAAACTGTTCTTAACCTGAAGCACCACTTTAATGGGGCCTCCTGCTGCCGCCGCACCGCCGGAGTACGATTTCTGTTCTCATCCTGAAGCTAAGTTCTAGTACCCGAGGTACTATTTCTGGGTTAGCGGAGTCTGTAACCTGAAGCGTATGTAACCCAAGGTACCACTGTATAAGGGCAGGCACACTTTTGTTCGGGGTTCCTCCTCCCTCCTACGTGTGGTGAGTGAGGACCCTGTTGCAACAGTTAATAAATATCAGGCTTACTAGCTGCTTTGCTTCTCAATATTCTCTGGTTGGCCTCTGTTATTTTCTCCTACCAATAGGGAACTCTATATGGGCTCTTGGGTACCCATAAGGGGAAAAAGAGCAGTATTCTTTTTTACAACACCCCATAAGGGAAAGGGAGAAGTTTTTTTTCTTATAGCACGATGATCCCCACGGACAAGCAGTTCCACAGAGCAAGAGTGTGGTGCCGGAAGCCTGGTCTCCCCTCCGTGGCCGCCAGCCAAGCTCACCTGTTCCCAGGAAAAGGACATCGCGGGAGATGCCAGCAGCATCCTGCACGCTATCCACCACCACCTGGGTGTACGTGTCGTTGTTCTGGAGGATGTAGAGGGGGTGCTCTTCATCTGGGTAGATGACCGAGTCGATTTCGGGGTGGTCCTTAATGAAGGTCAGGGTAGATTTGGGCAACGGAGGGTGACCATCTGGTGGCACACACTGAGCAGGAGGAGAGAAAGGTAGACGGGGATAAGTCAGCGCGTGTGTAGGAGAAATGAACATTTTGTACAAAATAAATAAATAAAGATTCCTGCTTTTTGGTTGTTTATTTTTATTAAAGATTTTCTTGATTTACAAAAGTGTGTGCAATGTCTCTCTCTTGTATTCAAGAAGGACACTGTTCAAGAAGGACACTGACAAACTGGAACGTGTCCAGAGGAGGGCAACCTAAATGGTCAAAGGCCTGGAAACGATGCCTTATGAGGAACGGCTAAGGGAGCTGGGCATGTTTAGCCTGGAGAAGAGGAGGTTAAGGGGTGATATGATAGCCATGTTCAAATATATAAAAGGATGTTACATAGAGGAGGGAGAAAGGTTGTTTTCTGCTGCTCCAGAGAAGTGGAAACGGAGCAATGGATCCAAACTACAAGAAAGAAGATTCCACCTAAACATTAGGAAGAACTTCCTGACAGTAAGAGCTGTTCGACAGTGGAATTTGCTGCCAAGGAGTGTGGTGGAGTCTCCTTCTTTGGAGGTCTTTAAGCAGAGGCTTGACAACCATATGTCAGGAGTGCTCTGATGGTGTTTCCCGCTTGGCAGGGGGTTGGACTCGATGGCCCTTGTGGTCTCTTCCAGCTCTATGATTCTATGATTCTATTCTATGATTTCCCCCCGTGTAACATTTTTTACAAATCAGTTTCATGTGTTGAGACATTGGGAAGAAAAGGGGGAAAGATGGGTGGGGTCGGGTGGCGATGTTTCTATTTTACTTACTATATGTAGGGTTTGGTGTCGGCGTTGCTTGTGCAGGTTCTTTGCTGTTCGCTTGTGTTCCTTTGGTGGCGAGAGAGGTTGGGGTTGGCCTAGGATGTGGTTGGCCTAGGGTGTGGTTATTCATTTGTGGTTGGCTGTGGTGGTCTTTGTTTTCGTGTGTGAGTGAGGTGGGTGGGTGTTTTGCATCAGGTTAGCCATATTGATTCATATGCTGTTGGTGGATTTTTGTCATTGTCGTGTTGGGCTGTGTATGTGATAAAAGGGAGCCATACCGGGGTGAAGGCGTCTTCTTCTATTTGTCCCCATGTCAGTTTCAGTTTATCGGTTAATTTTTCTAGGAAGGCTGTTTCCCATACTATTTGGTACCATTGGTCCATGCTTACTCCTGACAGGTCTCTCCAGTGTCTTGGGTTACTGTTATGTACTGAAGTTCTCACCCTGGGCCAGCAGGGGGATACGGTAGATAGTTTTCACTCAGGTCCACATATGCAAATAAGGGATTGAAAGTGACGTTCGGTGATTGGATAGTTACAGAAAATGGTTACTGTTGTGTTCTAGTGGAGCTCTATATAAGCAGGCTGGCTGAACCCTTCAGTTCAGTTCTGTTCTGGCCTGTGAATAAACAAGAGCTGTTTGAAGAATCGCTGTGTCGTCTGATATGTTCACCCACAACTTAACATGTGGGTTATGAGTTCTTTGTGGTGCAAGTGGACATTATAGTCTTGGAAGATGTTTAGTAAGGTTCCTGCTTTTTAAAAAACCCAGAGGGCCAGTAATGACCTTACCATGCCGGGTCTGGGCACAGGGATGGGGCCGGTGACCCCTTTGAACTTCGAAGTCTTGAAAACGTTGCTGATCCGGTTCATCGAGTACGAACAGACAGCAGATGAACCCCTAAAGGGGGAAAAACCAAAAACACTGGTGTGATGTCATTCTTACAGCCGACTGACCATTCCAGGAAGCACAAAATCACAAACTCAAAATCGGCTTTTCTCTGCAGTGAATACTCCTAGCACGTTTGTGAATGGATACGACGAAGACATTTTGTCAAAAGCAGCTTCTGACATAGATGCTGCTGGCTGAAGCACAACAGTGGAAATGGCATTAAAAAATCAGACTCAATTATTGTGGCATTAAAAGAAATCTGGAATTTATTTATTTCAGGAAAAAGTAGCACACGAATTATGGGTCTCTAAAGGACAGGAAGATTCAGGCCATTTTTACCCAGTTGTGGTGGTATTTTATTCCGTATAGTTTAGTTTCAGATGTACAGGTGTCTCCCCCATGCTGGCTACAGAAATATGGATGTCATGATTTTAGATTGGGTGTTATCATTCAGTATGTTTAGGTTTTGCATGCCCTTGCCTTTATCATCATCATCTTCATCATCATCATTTTTAATTTGTATACCGCCTTTCTATCTTACAATACTCAAGGCGGTTTACAAGCTGAAGAAACAAACATCTTATAACAAGTTATAACAAGTTAGATGTATTATTGAATTTTTTATTACCTGTCTTCCTGGCTTTAAAAGGGAACTTTGCCAACTCTGTTGCACAGGATCTCGGAGGGTAGAAACCTTATACAGTGGTTCCTCTGGTTGCGAACAGGATCCGTTCTGGAGGCCCGTTCGCAACACGAAAAGAGCGCAACCTGCAGCGGCACGTCTGCGCACGCGCGGGTTGCGATTCAATGCTTCTGTGCATGCGCGTGATGTCATTTTGTGCATCTGCGCACACGTGAGTGGTGAAACCTGGAAGTAACCCTTTCCAGTACTTCTGGGTCGCCGTGCGATGTAACCGAAAAAAACGTAACATGAAGCGGACGTAACATGAGGTATGACTGTAGTGCACTTAATGCGACTAAGGTAGGCTGGCCTTGATATGGGAGCTGGGTTGAATCCTGCCCTGCCCTTAACTCACCATGCACTGGAGAAGACGCCGTACAGCACCGTCTCGCCCTTACCGCCCTCCTTCCTGGAGACGAAGGCGTCCTGGAGGCGGTGGAAGCGCATGGGCTCGGTGGGGTGTCCACACACCAACCTCGCCTTGAGGAAGGTGCTCCAGGAATCCGCCATGACAGGCCTGCCGCCTTGGTCCACCTGGAAGGGCAGAAGACCTGATGTCATGGGCGGGCTGGATGCATTCAGAGGAGAGGAGGGAGGCACCAGCTGGAGAAGAAGACTCAGAGCTCAGGGAGTGGTGGTGGAACAACAACGGGTGGTCACAGGGAGCAGACTGGGAGGAGGTGGACGAGGTAACAGGGTTTGGTGAGCAGGAGGAGGCTGTGGCAGAGAGCAGCCCAGACTCCGAGGCAGAAGTGGAGGCTGGAGGGGAGTGGGGCCAGGAGACAGAGAGGAGCCCAGCTGGTGAAGAAGCAAGGGCAGACCCTCCAAGTGTCTCTATCTTCCAGGGACAGTCCGAGATTTACAGAATCCTGGTTTCTGATTTGATCCTGTAATGTCCAGTTTTTCCTTAGGAAATGCCTATTTTCATTGGAGAGATGTTGGAGGCTATGGAATAGGACATCCCTATTTTCATCGGAGAAATGTTGTAAGGTATGGAAGAGGAAATAATAATAATAATAATAATAATAATAATAATAATAATAATAATATATTTATACCCCGCCCACCCGGCTGAGTTTCCCCAGCCACTCTGGGCGGCTCCCAATCGAGTGTTAAAAAAAATACAGCATTAGATATTAAAAACTTCCCTAAACAGGGCTGCCTTCAGATGTCTTTTAAAAGTAAAATAGTTGTTTATTTCCTTGACATCTGATGGGAGGGCATTCCACAGGGCGGGCGCCACCTCCGAGAAGACCATCTGTTTGGCTCCCTGTTTTCATCAGAGAAATGTTGGAGAGTATGGAAAAGACTGTCCCCATTTTCATCAGAAAAATGCTGGAGGGTATGGAAGAGGATGTCCCTATTTTCACCAGAGAAATGCTGAAGGGTACGGAATAGAATGTCTCCATTTTCATCGGAGAAATGTTTGGAGGGTATGCCAAGGACTCTCCCCCTCCTGCTGTGACCAGTTCTCCCAGAAGAGGGATGAAGTGGAGCAGAGACTGACAAGGCAAGGAAGTCTCAGATTGCTTGGGAAGGACCCAGGGGTAGGAACAGACTTATGCAATTGTGGGAAGGCAGGGATCTTTAGTTGGGACGCGGGTGGCGCTGTGGTCTAAACCACTGAGCCTAGGGCTTGCCGATCGAAAGGTCGGCGGTTCGAATCCCTGCAACGGGGTGAGCTCCCGTTGCTCGGTCCCTGCTCCTGCCAACCTAGCAGTTCGAAAGCATGTCAAAGTGCAAGTAGATAAATAGGTACCGCTCCGACGGGAAGGTAAACGGCATTTCTGTGCGCTGCTCTGGTTCACCAGAAGCGGCTTAGTCATGCTGGCCACATGACCCGGAAAATCTGTCCGCGGACAAACACCGGCTCCCTCGGCCAGTAAAACGAGATGAGCGCCGCAACTCCAGAGTCATCCGCGACTGGACTTAACTGTCAGGGGTCCATTACCTTTACCTTTTAGAGACCTTTAGTCCTCGCAACTGCCTCATAGGGGCAAGTTCTACTGTGACAAGTTGCTGTGCTCACTAGGCCTGGCTTCCTGAGCTGTCTTGTCTCTTTGAATAAAGAGCTTTACCAACACCGTGAGTTATTACTGACCTGCTCTCGGCACTTGTCTAAGCGGCCTTCCGGGTGCTGCTGGGACTACAGCTCCCCCTAGCCCCTGCCCACGGGCCATGTAACTGGTCCGCGCCCCATCCCTCCAGGTGGAAACCTCTTCCCAGACGTCACTGCCTTGCTCTAACCTTGCAGACACGCCCAAGCCCAGCTTTGTAAGGCTCCTCGTCCAGCCCGGCCGACTGGTTGACCTCATTGTAGAAGAAGAAGATTTCGTCTTTGCTCTGGTCTTTCTCCGCCAGCAGGGCGGCACCAACAAACTCCGCACCTGCTGGGGCGGGAGAGAATTGAAATGGTACGACTGGTATTTAGGACCTGTGCTCGGAAAAACACACACGAGAGGAGCCCTTCTCAAGGGATAGACTGGATCTACACATGGAGGCCCCATTATTGCAGTCAACAGCTGATGGGCAGCCATGTATTGCAAGCGATTATTCCTGTTGTCCTCTGCAAGCTCTCCGTTCATAAGCAAGAGCAATCACTACAGTGGTACCTTGGTTTGCAAACAGTCTGGTTTGCATATGTTTTGGATTACAAACACGTCAAACCCGGAAGTGCATGTCCCGGTTTGCAAACTTTTTTTGGATTACAACCCTTTTTTTTTTTGGATTACGAACAATTTTTTTTTGGAGGCCCCATTGGCGAAAGCGGGCCTTGGGTTACTGTTATGTACTGAAGTTCTCACCCTGGGCCAGCAGGGGGATACTGTAGATAGTTCAGGTCCACATATGCAAATAAGGGATCGAAAGTGACGTTCAGTGATTGGATAGTTACAGAAAATGGTTACTGTTGCGTTGTAGTGGAGCTCTATATAAGCAGGCTGGCTGAACCCTTCAGTTCAGTTCTGTTCTGGCCTGTGAATAAACAAGAGCTGTTTGAAGAATCGCTGTGTCGTCTGATATGTTCACCCACAACTTAACAGTTACAACCTGTTTTGGTTTACAAATGGACCTCCGGAATGGATTATGGTTGTAAACCAAGGTACCACTGTACTTCCCCTAAGAGCCAGTGGGACAGGAAGGAACAGACTAGCAAAAAAGAGGTGTTAGGAAGAGAGACAGAGAGATGGGGAAAGGGTGGTACCATCCATGTTTGTCCTTGGGTCTGTGGACCAGGACATATACCTGCAAACAAATGTGGCTCTCAAAATGGCGGGGGAAGAAGCATTTCAGAGGAGAGCTGCAAAGACATTAGCTTTATGAGCAATCACGGCCGGTGGCTGATGTGGGTGCCTTTCCCCCATTGATGGGCTGAAATAAAAAAATTAAGGTCTTATATATATAAGAAACGTTCATAAATGTACCAAGCAAACATGTACATAAATATATAAACCACATGTCTGAAGCAGCACAGGAAAAGAGCCCTGAAACCATTTTGATTCCCAAACTGACCAAATGTTTTCTCTGCAAGGTCGAAGGCAAATGGGAAAACCTCCCCATTGTCTTTTCCTTCACAAATCCTGTCTGAAGGGTTTGTCTGTGTATGAATAGGGTGAGCCTATGACCTGGCTCAGGAACTAAGTATTTATCATTACAAAAGACTGGCCAGGCTCCCCAGGGTATCCAATCAAGTGACCATTAACAGGTAACCTGCCAGACAGGAGGTAAACAACACACTCAGATTTCTGTTGTAGACCGCCCTTTCTGTGATGTATGTATGATGTTTCTGGTGGAGGGGGTGGTCTTGAGCTCCAGTGCGGGCAATTTAAAATGTCTACATATAAGGGCTTGCACACCTTTGTTCTGGGTCCTCCTCCTTTCCTGCGTGTGAAGGGGGCACCCTGTTGCAACAGATCAATAAAGATCAGGCTTACTAGCTGCTTTGCTTCTCAATATTTTCTGCTTGGCCTCTGTTCTTTTCTCCGACCGATGGAGAACCTGCAAAGGACTCTATAAGGGCTCTTGTGTTCCCCATAAGGGAATAAGGGCAGATTTTTGTTTATTACAGGGTGGTTGATGGGTGCCATTTTGTGGCCATGCCTATTTCCTGCCCTCTTAAACAGGGCAGCCATTTTGTGCTACGTCGAGACTCCACGGCAACCATTTTGTGTTTTGCACTTGCAGCACTTCCTCAGAATTACAAAAGGCCAGAGACCCCAATGGTGTTTTCCTTATCCACTCCCAGCCTTTGTTACTTGCAGACGATGTTCTATTTATTTTAATGTATTTATTTCACGGGTTTTCCATACTGCCCAATGACCCGAAACCTCCGAGCCGTTTATCTAAAATATTCCTAAAAATGCCAGTGAAAGCAAATGTTCAAAAACAAGCCATTTGTTCAAAGACTATCTGCAGAAGCATTGCAAAATTAAAGAATGTTAGAGTGATGTTGGATTGAAAATAAGTGGCTTCCGGCTGTACAGGATTTAAAGTTATATATAGATTAAGATTGAGGATTAGGACTAAAAAAGTTTAAGGAAATGGAAACTTGGTTTTTAAGAGGTAAAATTTTAATGTTATATTATATTAAGATTAAAGATTGGGATTAAAAAAAGAGGGAAAGAAATTGCTGGACAAACAATTTGAACTGGAATACAAAAGAGGGAGGTATGAGGAGGTCCAGAAAATAAGTAAATTTAAAAATGGAGATGAAAAGGTGATATTGTTTTTAACTGTTTTTTTTTCTTTTTTGTCTTTTGTTTTTTGTTCTTTTTTTCTTTTTTGGATTATGTATTGTTTATTTTTGAATTGTGTATTTCCTTTTTATGTTTTTATGTTTAATCTTTTATTGATGTGTTCTTTTTATTGGAAACCTTAATAAATATCTTTAAAAAAAACACACCAAAAAAACCCCCAAGCCATTTGACGCACATAGCTTCTCCCATGCAGAAGAGTCGTGAGAACTATAGTTTGCCCCTCACAGAGCTATGCTTCCCAGCACCCTTAACATATTACAATTCCCAGAATTCTTTGGGGGAAGTCACATGCCTTAAATGCATGGTCTGTAAGCTGCCCCTGGTTGATCCCAAACCAACCAAAATATAAATAAAAACCAGGAGTTTTAAGACATATACAAAGGGATGGGAGAGCGAGAGAGAGTTTCTTACGGGGCAGCCAGCTGTTTTCTGTCTTCAGCCCCTTCTTCTTCCCATAGCTTCTCTGGATGCTGCTTTTCCCCCCAGACAATGCAGAGTAAAGGGTGTCTTCTGAAATTGGAACATGCCGGGGAAGAAAAAAATGTGAGTCGCCCATTGCAAACTTCGAAATTATGAGAGCCGAAACATAGACTTGCCTTCTTCCTGACTCCTGATGCTTGTGATCACACTAACAAACTTACATATTTCTTCCACCATGTGGACTAGAGTTTTACATCAGTGCAACTGACTCCATGAAGAATTAGTGGGACAGACAAGAGCCCTTTGTACAGTGCCGGATTCACGTATAAGCTAAACAAGCTATAGCTTAGGGCCCCACTCTCTTGGGAGCCAGTGTGGTGTAGTGGTTAAGAGCGGTAGTCTCGTAATCTGGTGAACTGGGTTCGCGTCTCCGCTCCTCCACATGCAGCTGCTGGGTGACCTTGGGCTAGTCACACTTCTCTGAAGTCTCTCAGCCTCACTCACCTCACAGAGTGTTTGTTGTGGGGGAGGAAGGGAAAGGAGAATGTGAGCCGCTTTGAGACTCCTTAGGGTAGTGATAAAAAGGGATATCAAATCCAAACTCTCCTTCTTCACTTCTTGGGGGCCCCCAAAAAATTTAAAGGAAAAAAAATACCTGGATGTACATTTGCAAAATATAAGATAAAAAGCAAATAAAATAAAACCTACATACAGCAACAGTGTTTTGTGTTGTGTAGGCTCCTAGGATGTAAGTCATGGGCCCCGCCTGCTCCCTAAAGTATCACTGGTTTGCTCCTTTCTATATATAGGGTGCCTACATTCTGCATGGAGTGACTGCATGGCAACATGTGCAAATGGATTTAGATACCTATGAGATCCATCAATTACCATATACAGTGGTACCTCTGGATGCGAACGGGATCCGTTCCGGAGCCCCATTCGCATCCAGAAGCAAACGCAATCTGCGTCTGCGCGTGCACAGGTCGCGATTCGCCACTTCCGCGCATGCGCGTGATGTCATTTTGACCGTCTGCGCATGCGCGAGCGGCGAAACCCAGAAGTAACATGCTCCGTTACATCTGGGTCGCCGCAGCGCGCAACCCAAAAATACTTATCCCGAAGCTACTTCAACCCGAGGTATGACTGTAGCATATATTCAACACAAAAAACAGTGACAATTTGTTGTGGACAAAGGACAGCTGGACATATAAAGGGCCCCGTTACCTTCGGTAGCTTAGGGCCTCATCAAACCTAAATCGGGCCCTGCCTTTGTGAACCAAGACTGTTATGTACTGAAGTTCCCACCCTGGGCCACCAGGGGGATACTGTAGATAGTTTTCACACAGGTCCACATATGCAAATAAGGGATTGAAAGTGACGTTCAGTGATTGGATAGTTACAGAAAATGGTTACTGTTGCGTTCTAGTGGAGCTCTATATAAGCAGGCTGGCTGAACCCTTCAGTTCAGTTCTGTTCTAGCCTGTGAACAAACAAGAGCTGTTTGAAGAATCGCTGTGTCGTCTGATACGTTCACCCACAACTTAACAAAGACATTTTGCCGTTTGAACATTCGAAACCCAAAATCTGAGCACAACAAAACCAGCCAGGAAGATTCCCTCTGCGCCTTTCCTTACTCCGTACCTACAGTGATGACCACGGCGTTCTGGGATGGTGATGCTGGTGAGATGTTTTCCCCTGAGGCGGTGATATTCCGGCCTTGCTTGTCCGTTTGGAAGGTCGTGGTGTTGACCTTGGAGTAAAGAGACAAAAAAGAAAAATGAATGCATTTTGATATATCAACTGAACTCGCGGCCTCTCAATTTTCATGTGACTTCCTGCCACGTTTTTTAAAATTGTTTTTACAGATAATTTCATTGCTTTATTCTTTTCTAAACTGCTCTGAGGGTAGATTTCCCCACCTCCAATCAAACAACATATACCGTATTTTTTGCTCTATAAGACTCACTTTTGCCATCCTAAAAAGTAAGGGGAAATGTGTGTGCATCTTATGGAGCGAATGCAGGCTGCGCAGCTATCCCAGAAGCCAGAACAGCAAGAGGGATTGCTGCTTTCACTGCGCAGCGATCCCTCTTGCTGTTCTGGCTCCTGGGACTCAGAATATTTTTTTCTTGTTTTCCTCCTCCAAAAACTAGGTGCATCTTGTGGTCTGGTGTGTCGTATAGAGTGAAAAATATGGTAATTTTTATGAAATGAAAATAGGCAAAACACCTGCAGATTCCATCCACCACTCTGATATTTCTCAAGCTCACCAGAAACCAGCACTTGGGAGAAGCTGCGTTGGTTCCACAGACCATCATTTTGTTGTCCAGCTTCTCGATCACTTGGATGAAATTATCGCAGTCGTCCTATGAGGAAAGGTGATGGGGAGGGCAGAGGAAAAACACAGAAGCGTATTGATTTATTTTAACATTTATGACCCACACTTCCATGGCATCCTTCAAGGTGGCTTCAATAAAACCGATCCATCGATATTTGTAAAACAACAACAAAAAACCCCACAAACCTCAATAAAAGCAGCAATGTATATTTGTTAGAGCAGGGGACAGTTCTACTCTGTTAAAAAGTGATCTCTTGGAGGGAAGTTGTAGGGAAATACCCTTTTCTCCTCAAGCCACCCTCCCCTTGCCATTGATAACCTCATGCTGCTGGAAAACATGAGTTTGCATTTTGCATGCACACACTTGAAATATTTACATTTAACATTTTCAGTGCAATAAATGCATTTTTTTAAAAAAAACAAAACAGCAAAAACTTTCTTCTAGGAAATAGGGGAGGAGGATACAGAAAACAGAGAAGAAATAGAGGTGTGTGTGTGTATATATATATATATATATGGGTGTGTATGTAAAATAACATATTTCTAGCAAGCATGAGTTGATGAACCATGCCCTCCTTGCCACTAGGGGGCGCCAACTATTTAATTTAATGCAGCCTTTCTAGCCCTAAGGGTTGGGTAGGTTATACAGCAAAATGCAAAATGCATCCCAAAACAGGCGCCCAGATTGGCTGTGGAGGTGCTGATCCCAGGAGATTTACACAATGGTCTGCGCCTGCTGTTGGCTTAACATCTGTGAAGGGTCCTCAACAAACATGGAGGCCGGGAGTTCTGCCAGGGTGGCCCCTAAAAGATGCATTGCACAGACTGAGACCCAAGTCAGCGGTAGCGGTAGCGTAATAGGGCCAGCTAGGATCCTATTGGCTCCTTGAGTCGCCACGTGATCCCTGCTAGCGCTGCAGTACCCCCTCCAGCCACTGGTGGCGCTGCAGCACAAGTGGGGCAGGGAGTTGAGACACGCCCCCCACCATTGTCTCCTCTTACTTAGGAAACATTTTGTAGTGCACTGATCCAGGTCCCCACAACTCCTTACCCACGCTGCTCCGGGCTTGCTTTTACAGTCCTTTTCTGCCTTCTCATCAGCCTTCAGGGGGACCTGGAGCAAGGAGAGAGACCCTGGTGAGGAAACTGGGGGACGCCAACCCTACGCCCCTGTGAAAACTAGGAGGCTATTTCGCCCCATGCTGGTCCCGGGATGCAGCTCAAGAGAAAGAGGACATCAGGATTGGAACCCAGGAATTTGCCTTCTACTGAGTCGGAAGTTTTGTTAGACTGGTGACTGGGAGCGGCCACCGAGACCACATAACACCTGAAAGACCTACATTGGCTCCCAGTATGTTTCCAAGTGCAATTCAAAGTGTTGGTGCTGACCTTGAAAGCCCTAAACGGCCTCAGTCCAGTATACCTGAAGAAGCGTCTCCACCCCCATCATTCTGCCCGGACACTGAGGTCCAGCACCGAGGGCCTTCTGGTGGTTCCCTCACTGCGAGAAGTTAGGTTCTAGGGAACCAGGCAGAGGGCCTTCTTGGTGGTGGCGCCCTCCCTGTGGAACTCCCTCCCTCCAGATGTCAAGGAAATAAACAACTATCTGATGTTTAGAAGACATCTGAAGGCAGCCCTGTTTAGGGAAGTTTTTAATGACTGATGTTTTCATGTATTTTTAATCTTTTGTTGGAAGCCACCCAGAGTGGCTGGGGAAACCCAGGCAGATGGGCGGGGTATAAATAATAAATAAAAATAAATAAATAATTATCTACAATGACTGGGAACATTTCTCCAGGGTTTCGGAAAAGGGAGATTCCCAGCCCTGCCTGGGGAAGCCAGGGATTGAACTTGTGACGTTCTGCAACCAAAGCAAGAACTCTACAGTTGAGCTACCAGTACATCCCTTCCCTGGTTGTTCATTTCAGCACCACGGATACCTCCTAGGGAGAAACGTGCTCCCTAGTAACCCAAGCCCTTCTGAGCCTTGACCTCAGAACATACAGAGCTTTGGTGGATCAGGCCAATGGCCCGTCTCGTCCAGCATCCTGTTCTCACAGTGGCCAGCCAGCTGCCCCAAAGGGAAACCAGGATTCGAACTCAAGAGCAACTCTTCCCTAGCTGCAGTTTTCCAGCAACTGGCATTAGAAACATCACTGCTTCCAGAGCCCAGCGATCAGGCCTAGCAGCCACCAATGCGCCTCTCCTCCATGAATTTGTGTAACCCTCTTTTAAAACCATTCCGATTGCTGGCAATCTGTTCCTCCGGTGGAAGCGAGTTCCACAGATTAACTGCGCCACCTGAAGCTCTGTACCTCTTTCGGAGTGACTTCGGAGTCCGTAAACGTCAAGAGGAACAGCTTCCCCCGGCCTCCGATGAGGACCTGGTTGGAGCCGGGCTCGTGGAACATGGCCGCCGGTCTCTCACGTTCACCGAAATTGAACCTCTGGGCATCTGAAAGGAGAGGGGGTCATATTGGTCATTGTTGGAGATGCGGTGGAGAAATAGGAACAACAATACAGTGGTACCTCGGGTTACAGATGCTTCAGGTTACATACGCTTCAGGTTACAGACTCCGCTAACCCAGAAATAGTGCTTCAGGTTAAGAACTTTGCTTCAGGATGAGAACAGAAATCGTGCTCTGGCGGCGCAGCAGCAGAGGGAGGCCCCATTAGCTAAAGTGGTGCTTCAAGTTAAGAACAGTTTCAGGTTAAGAATGGACCTCCAGAACGAATTAAGTACTTAACCCAAGGTACCACTGTATAGGGCTGCTTTCAGATGTCTTCTAAAGGTTGTATAATTACAGTGGTACCTCGGGTTAAGAACTTAATTCGTTCTGGAGGTCTGTTCTTAACCTGAAACTGTTCTTAACCGAATTAAGTACTTAACCTGAGGTACCACTGTACATATGTGGTGGAGGTGTGAGTGGTCATAAAGTTATTATTTAGCGACTTTCAGAGATTTATAGGATTTCTGTTTATTTGGTTTCAGAGTTCCTACGGAGCAGGCTTCGGAGATCTTTGTGACTTGCAGGAGAGACTCTCCCACGAACCACAACGATCTGCTGGGCGTGCAAGGGATAAAGCTATCTTTTGAAATGTCCACACCAGCATGGGGGTTTGGAGTCTGAAAGGATGTGGCACCTGAGGTCTCCTTGGAGGAAGGGGGCAGGCGTGTAGAGGAGCTGTATGATTGCATAGAGGGAAGATTTGCCTTTGTTGCTCCGCCCCCTCTGTGGCCCCCAGATAGGCTGCCGAGAAGGGATCGCGGCCTTCAGACTGGAAAGAAGATTCTGCTTTCTCTCTTTGGAGAGAGAAAATGGGAACCGGCTTCCACTTAAGCGCGAGTACAATGGAACAAGCTCCATTTTGCTGCCTCATCTGTCCAGAGAGCTCCTCTTCCAGGGCAGCGATATTAATGCGGTTAATGCATAATACATGGGCTTAAAAAATAAAATCAGGCAGAGAAAGAGCAGAGGAGAACACTGAACAGTGGGTGGCGGCACAAAAACCAAGAGCGGCAGTGGGCTCTTTACAAAAATATACAATTAAAAATAAACCTGCCCCGTTTTAATTACACCCCATGAGCAGGGCTGGAGAAACAGGATTGGAGGGCCACCCTTGGCTCTGAACCTGAAATTCCTCATCACGGATTGATCTTATATCTTATCCATCCATCTATGGCAGTCATCCCCCAAATGCGGCCCTCCAGATGTTTTGGGACTACAACTACCATCATCCCTGACCACTGGTCCTGTTTGCTAGGGATGATGGGAGTTGTAGTCCCAAAACATCTGGAGGGCTGAGTTTGCCTATGCCTGCCCTAGGGTGTGGTTGTTTGTTTGTGATTGGCTGTGGCGAATTTTATTTTCATGTGTGAGTGGGGTGGGTGTTTTGGATCAGGTTAGCCATATTGATTCGTACGCTGTTGGTGGATTCTTGCCGTTGTCTTGTATGTACAAAATACTACTCCAGGCATCCCCAAACTCGGCCCTCCAGATGTTTTGGGACTACAACTACCATCATCCCTGACCACTGGTCCTGTTTGCTAGGGATGATGGGAGCTGTAGTCCCCAAACAGCTGGAGGGTCGAGTTTGGGGATGCCTGATATATGGTGCCCATTGGGGCAGGTTGGGTGGCAGGCAGGGAGCCCAGCAGTAGGTGGCGCCAGAGAGCCAATGGCAGGCAGGAACTCACTAATTCTAGTTTTGCATCTCTCCTCCTCCTTCTGAAAAGTGCAATGCTGGGGAAGATGAGGAGGAGGAGGAGGAAGCCCACTAATGGTTCCTTCCCCCGGACTGGTTGTGAGCCGGCCGGCTGGTAGGGAGCTGCCTGGGAGCAGAGTGAGGCCAGTGGGGCCCTGCCCCATTCACCCTGATGGGCCAACCTCTCCACTGGCATACCCAGAACATCCCTTTCAAGTCCCTAGCAAACTGCCTTGCTCAACGTTTAAATGAGGGGTTCCCCAAAGTGAGTGGTAGCGCCCCCTGGAGGGTGGTGAAATTACCTAGGGGGTGCCAAGAGGCGGTGGGGGGCCACTGGGGGTGTAAATGACCACCAGACTCCGAAAAGCTGGCATCACCAGAACACGTTCATTGAATTAATTAATCTGAACTGTTTTGGTTACATTTGCAATTAACCGTTACTGTTTCGAATGTGATCGTGTTTTTATTGTGCAAACTGCTATTCTGAATAATGCTTTTTTATAGGGGAAAGGGACATTAGGGGTGGGTTGGTGCTGTGGGTTAAACCACAGAGCCTAGGGCTTGCCGATCGAAAGGTCGGCGGTTCGAATCTCCGCAATGACGGGGTGAGCTCCCGTTGCTCGGTCCCTGCTCCTGTCCACCTAGCAGTTCGAAAGCACATCAAAGTGCAAGTAGATAAATAGGTACCACTCCGGCAGGAAGGTAAACAGCGTTTCCGTGCACTGCTCTGGTTCGCCAGAAGCGGCTTAGTCATGCTGGCCACATGACCTGGAAGCTGCACGCCGGCTCCCTTGGCCAGGAAAGCGAGATGAGCGCTCCAACCCCAGAGTCGGCCACGACTGGACCTAATGGTCAGGGGTCCCTTTACCTTTTTACCTTATGGAGCAAAGGTTTGGGGACCACTGATTCTTGCAATGCCGTGGTTTGGACTAGATCCTTCTGGATCCTTTCCAGGTTTGCGATTCTGCAATCCTATGCTTCAAACCTCCCTAGCTCCTTTGCCCTGTGCTAACATTGCAGAGACTCTTGAGAGTCCCATGGACTGCAAGAAGAACAAACCTCTCCATTCTGAAGGAAATCAGCCCTGAGTGCTCACTGGAAGGACAGATCCTGAAGCTGAGGCTCCAAGACTTTGGCCACCTCAGGAGAAGAGAAGACTCCCTGGAAAAGACCCTGATGTTGGGAAAGATGGAGGGCGCAAGGAGAAGGGGACGACAGAGGACGAGATGGCTGGACAGTGTTCTCGAAGCTACCAGCATGAATTTGACCAAGCTGTGGGAGGCAGTGGAAGACAGGAGGGCCTGGCGTGCTCTGGTCCAGGGGGTCACGAAGAGTCGGACACGACTAAACGACTAAACAATAACATTGCAGTGGGGTTGAGGAGCGGGGAGAGCATTTATGGGGAAATTCCCCTAAGGTCACTCTTGGCTAGAAACTGTCTGTCATCCGCAAATGGGGGCGTTGAACTGGGAAGCCAGAATGGGCATTCAAAGGGCAGTCTCTCTCTCTCTCTCTCTCTCTCTCTCTCTCTCTCTCTCTCTCTCTCTCCTTGCAGAAATGCTGGTTCAACCCACAGGCTGTCTTCTCTGGGGGCTTTCCCAACAAATGTGTCGTGATGAGGAGCAGCGTGCAATTTGGGTCTGCGAGGGCGAGCCCTGCGGGTGGCAACCGCGTATCGGAGAACGGATCTGGGGCGTTGTTTTTGTGTTCCCTGCCTCCCCTCCTCTCGGAGCTCGCAGCTCTCTTTTTATCCGCACTGCAGAGAGTGCCAAGTCTAGCCTGACCCAGTCTATAAAATCTCCTCCTCCTCTGTTTCTCTGCAAAAAAAAGCCTCCTGTTTTTGGAAGAGAGCGGCTGTCTTGCTGGCTCCCAGCCAGGCCCTGCAATCCAATCTCAGGTGTGGCACTGCCTCTGGTGCCAAGGGGAAAGTCATGCCCATGTCTCAGATATGCCTGAAAGCAGCACTATCCGGTCTGGGAAACCTCGGAGTGAGCAGCGATCCCCTGAGGAGGTGCAGAGTGCCTTTCCTACCTTCTACAAAGCGTTGAGAAAAACCCGATGTGCAGAGATTCTCTGAGGATGTGCAGAGTGCATCTTTCTGCAGCAAAGGGGACAAACACCTGCTTGGCCTCCTCAAAGGCCATTTATTCCTACTTACTAGACATTGCTCAGAACCAAGGGGAAAGGACTGGGGTGGGGTCTAGACCCCAGTTGTGCCAGTTCCTAGATGGCTATGGAATTTGGAGCCATGATTTGGCAAAAGGCAGGAAAACTGATGGAGAGGGGCTGCATAGGGGGTTTTAATGGCTGTAGTTAGCCATGAAGACCCCCATGGAGCCTCCAGATGCAAAGGCAGTCTACCTGTAGCAATGCAGCAGGAGAAGGCTGTTGCCATGGTGGCCTACCGGAGGGCTTCACAGGAGCATCTGAATGGCCATTGTGGGGAACTGGTCTAGGCCAGACCCCCTCCGATGGACCCCGCTCCAGAGGGTTCTTCCTGCTAGCCATGGTCGTTCAGAATGGAACCCCCATTTACAAAGGCAGTCTACCCCTCTGCATTAGGGCACAGGAAGAGCCTCGCCATCCAGCATTAAGGAAGAGAGCTGGTGGTTTCAGACCTCATGCGTGGGCTTCCCTTGGTCTGACACATCGGGGCTGTCCTTATGTCCATCCCCGTCCCCCCAAAAGACCCCATGTGGTGTAGTCGCTAGAGTGTCAGACTAGGACCTGGGAGAGTCCAGGGTTCAAATCTGCACTCGCCCACTTGGGGGCCAGTCACTGCCTCTCAGCCTATCCTACCTCACAGGGCTGTTGTGGGCATTAAATGAGGAGGAGAACCGTGTGCGTCGCTTTGAGCTCCGTAGAGGAAAAAGGTGGAACATAAACGCAATAGCAAGAAATAAATAAAAACCAAAGCATTTGTGCGTTCGAGGCCTTAGCCCCAGAGTAAAACAAAACAACAACCCGGCCGGAGTGAAAATGTTGGGCAGGCCCAATGTCCAGCCTCCCTGCTTTCGCAGTAGCCAAATGCCCCCGGTTACCTAGAAGTCCAGATAGACTGCCTCTGGACCTGGAGGTTCCACAAGAATCTCAGAAGAGCCCGGTTGCTGGATCAGGCCCAGAGGGGCCCATCTAGTCCAGCATCGTGTTCTCACAGCAGCCAACCAGGTGCCCCAACAAGAAGCCCTCCAGCAGGATCCGAGTG